ATCGATAAGAGTAAGGCTATTCAAACATATTGTCTGTGTAAACAATGAGATACTTTGGTTCTCACGAAAGACAGTCAGAGCTGGTTCCCCATAACTATTCAAAAAGAGGATATTTAGTCTTGGTCTGAATGATACTACGATACCTTTCTTTAAGAAGTTTTAAGTATCAACTTTATTACTTATCGATCTTAAGATCGGTAAGTATATTGATAGGTATATGTATGTCTGTCTGTCTGTGTGTCTGTTAGATGCACGCGATATCTCACGAAAGCGAGATTGAATCTGCTCCAGATTTTGCATGTGCATTCATCTTATCTCGGACCAGAAGCCTATTGATTTTGGGCGAATTATGTCGTATATTTAGCGAGTTATCAATCAATTATTGATATAGTGATCTAGATTTTTGTAAAGCGAGAGAATTTTGAAACCCGCCGAGTGTGTGTGTGCGATGCGCAGTGCGCAAGTTACAAGAGCGGATGAATCGAAACTGCAGTTTCTGTTTTGGGGGATCCCCTAACTATCGATCGATAAGTCTTCGGTTTCCAACCGATATTCTCGTTTCAAACATTCGTTTAAAACAATGATCTTTACATTCAAAATATTCCATGATATTTTCAGTTTGACATGGCCCGAATTATTGCACATTGTGTAATGAAATGCAGATCTATACCTTTAGCCTGTATGAGAAAACTTTGATAATAATCGGTCTTTACGTAATGATTTTTGCCAAAAAATCTCACAAATGCACTCCCTTAATACTTCAATGATCTCTTATATGATTCATAACATTCGTCAAAGATGTATCTCTTTCACTCCTCTTACAGAATGTGGCCTTACTAGGACAAATCCTCTTGTCAAGCCCAAGGCTGATTAAAACGGTAAACTCTCACCCTTGAATATATTTAAAGTGAGTAAACTCGCGATGTTTTGATCATATTTGGGTTTTTTCTGACTGCGGCCCGCAATACATCCTTTTTTTGCGGCCCCCTAACCTTGCAACCTTGGACCACCCCGTCTTATTCGACTCCTAACATTACTCAAAGATGGATCTCTTTCACTCTTCATAAGGCATTTGACCTGGCTAGGGGAACTTCTCTTATCCAATCAAAGGCAGGGGAGCTAGTTATTACAATGGCTCCAGCTCAGGCGCTTCGTTTTTCAGCTTCGGAGCTGGGCTGGACATGACAGATTTGATCATTTATATCAGGGGTCGGCAACCTACGGCCCGTGAGTAATATAATCCGGCCGCGGCACTTCACTGAATTATAGTAACAAAACAGCTGTTTTGACGATTATATTTTTTACGTAACAGAATTTATTGAGCGACACGTGTAGACTAAATTATATTATAATCTACCGTATTTTCTCGAAATTACGCCTATCTCGCGAATAAGCCGACTCCCTAATACCAGCTTCAAAATAGTGAATTTATAAAAATTCGCATATACGCCGTTTCTACAAATCGTAATGGAAGACAGCACTTTGCGGATTACTGTCAACATAAAAGGAATTAAATCAGCGCCGACTTGAAGTACCGAATGTATCACATGAGAACATTTTTGATTGAAAATATTTTACAATCCTTATTTTATATTATATGGGCTGATATATTTTATAATGTATGCCAAAGTGTCTGCCGATTATTTAATTGACTTTGTATACCAGCTGTTATTTGTGTTAATCCTTTAAAAACAAAAAGGTGGGAAGCACTTCCTGCCCGATATCGGCACTTCAGAAAGAAAACGCTACCACGAGATAACGTAATTGATTTATGACACTTGATTTATGACACTTCCGTTTTGCTGATTCAGGAAAAAAACGGAAAACACAGCTGTTGCCTAACCCATGGACGTACAGCAATATTTATCACACCATATTCATATGTTATTTCAACTTTTCAGTTAAATGGTTGTTCAAAATAATTGAAATTACAGTTTTATTGTTAAGAATTAATGCTGTGACTGTGAGTATTATTCTACCTGATTCTTACTTGTAAATTTATGTTAATAACGTCTATATTGCTTTTCAATGCGCGGTGATTTGTATTAATGAAGGGATAAAACAGAAGGGATCAGCATAAAACAATTTCTTTTAAATCGAATGTTGTATTAACACATTCTTATAAATCGCTGATTCGGAAGTTGCTATTAAAAGGATATTCAAACGTCATAGAATGAATGTCGTTTTGTGACATATTTACAAGCTCCATTATTTCGATGTTGCTCCGTAATGCGATTTGAATAATTTTATTTATCATTTAATTTTAAATATTGTGTCATCACCTCAACAGCGTAAGCGATGTCATGCACATGTAACGGTAAATATTTCAATTATAACGGAGATAAGAGTCTTCATCAGCGCAACTGAAAAGGATAACATATCGTAAAGGTGATCAAAATGAGGGCGCCGTTACTTGCGTTGTACCGCGATAGTGCACCAAACCAAATGATAACGTTTCACCACGAAACGCTGGCCGTAAATCGACGCCAATCAGACTGTACAAGCGTCACGTGTTTAACAACCAATCACAGACTGTACAAGCCATCAGCTGTATGATGAGACAATCACACCGGCACAAGCGATTGTGTGTGTGCGTTCTTTATCGTGAGAACTTAGTGCGGTTTGAAGCTTTTGGAATTACCGGCAAGTTAGCTAAATGTCAATCTCGTTGCGTGATCAAAGTCATGCGCGAATGAGTCGATTTTTTTATGCAATCTGAGTTACGCGAGTATAAGCCACCCCCTTAGTTTGGCAACTTTTTTTTTGTGTTTTAAACTCGGCGTATGTGCGAAAATATACGGTAACAGGTATAAAATTGACAATTACTCGTTTAATTAACCTATAATTTAAATATAATTAGACGAATTGAAAAAATAGGCAGAAAAGTTGATGCTAAGTGCAAAAGGTTCAATGGTGCCGAAAATATTCAAATGGAATTTTTTGAGATGCAATGCAAAGTATCACTGCTTGATTTTCATCATAAAAAGTATCATACGTTCGGTTTTCAACTTCCCAAAAATATGTGCGGCCCACCAATGACTTGCAACCCTTAATTTTGGCCCGCGAGCGACAAAAGGTTGCCGACCCCTGATTTAAATAGTCTATTACAAAATTAGCAATGTGAAAATATATTTAGGTGGTTAGGAGCTTGAGCCACTAAAAGTTCTTGTAGCTCTTGCTGTCATTATGAGCTTGGCTCCAGCTCTAACAAAGTGGTGGCTCAAGCTCCCCAACCCTGATTAAATCAGTGTCACGATCTGAAAATGCTTGGAAAGTACGGCCAGGAAGTGTACACTAGGGATGTTACTCAAAAAAACATAATCAAAGTGAAGTTGTATAAAAAACGATCGACATATTATAAGTACGAGGCCTCTAACTTTGTATAAGTGTATGTACAGTGCATTGTCTCAAAAGTTTAAAATTTTAGCATCACACCAACACAAATCTTATTCTGTAACATTATGTTTGATGAAAGTCATTGTTATAAATTACTTGTGAGAGAAAGTATGACCAGGTCACACAAAACGAGCATAATATTTGAGAGAAAGTTTTTTGCAAGACCTCAAATAAACCTAAATGTGTTTTTAAATGACTTTCTTGAAGCATAAAACCCATGCCCAACTAGGGCAAACAACTAATTCAGCCGACATTTAGAACAGTGGTTTCCATACAAGGTAATTATCCCCACAGAGGTAATTTGGCAATTATTAGGGGATGATCCAGACGTTCACTGTTTCAACAATTTCTTTTGTAAAGAAAAGCTAAACATTCAATGCTCGAATCTAGTCGTGAGCCCAGATGGCTAGTCACACACTTCGTATGAACATAATACCAAATTTCGCCACAGATTGTAGGCTAAAATGCTGAGTTAGCGCAAGTTTAGCATCTTAAAGTTGAATTGGAAGATGCAATGCAGATATAATCGCCATGTTTGATATGACTACTGTATTTTTTGGATGGGGTAATCAAGCTTTAGGAAATTTGAGGGGTAACGATATCAAATACTCTAGGAACCGCTGGTTTGGAATGTCCATAATAGGCACAGTTCATCGGGGAGAAGAGTGAATGTTTTTTTTATAAAACCATTGTAAAAACTTCTAATAGATTGAAAAAATACAGATTGGATTTTAATGATCAAAATTTTATTGGAAAAATATTCAGAAGAGTCTGATGTCATTATTTTTCAGAATTAGATTTAAATTTTGAAAAAATATAAAAGTATTTTTGTCCAGCTATTCTGACTGTATGACACCTAAAATCATGCCGCTTCTATAAACTCCAGGACTTTATGTCTTATATTATCATCCTAAAACTGCTAATTCTAGCATCTAGTAAGCACTAACTGTTCCACTGACTGACTTTTTAAATTTGGATGGGTTTTATTTTAATAATCGCAAGAATAATACAATGCATGTACACACAGAAAGATAAAGACAGGCTCATAAAAGAAAAAAAAATCATAACAAATCTAAACAAATAAACAGGATCCCAGGTCCGTAGGTATGTCGAACAAAAGAAATGTGATGTGTAATTACTGCCAAAACTGCTTGAATAACGTCAAACTGATATTTGATCACATTACAGCGTTATGTAATGTGAAATTTTTATGATATAAAAAAAAATATGTCTAGAGCGGAATGAAATTCTCGACAACCTGACAACGTGTTTAGTTATAATCAAACCTGCTTAATCTTCAGTAAGGAGGTGTGTCACATGACAAATACTGAAATAGGGTACCGGTATCAAGTATCTGAGTATAGTGCGAAACTGACTTTTATTTGAAAAAATAAAAATGTGGGCAGTATTTTCACATCACATTTTTGTTTGGCGATATTTAAGCATTTACTTTCACATCACATTTTTGCTTGGCTGCTTGGCGTTGTTTAAGAACTTACTTATAACACGCAGGACGGAAATTCATATACGCACTGAAACTTCAAATAAGGTCCAAAACACTGAAACATACAGACATAAGCTAGTCTGTTTTTGAGTTATCTTACCTTGATTTCTTCACAGTAAGTCTTCGATGTTGACCAGCAGCTACTTACCGTAACATATCACTAGAAGCTCTAATCCCTACTGTACTTCTCTGAATAATTCCAAAGGAAAAGGGAACAGGATACGCCCTTCAAAGAAACCTACTCGAAACCCGAGGAAAGCCCCTAAAACAAGAAAAGCTATTTCCAGTGAATCGCTTTGATTACGAAAGAGAATCACAGTGGTGTTTGGAGTCGGAATTGTGGATTGAAATAAAATTTATTGATTTTGGGTTACGTCCCATACCGAGTATCAAATATAAAACTTGAACAGGATGTTAGATTTTTATTGCTTATCTGATGGAAAATATATTGTAACCTGGTTGTTACCAGTAGTTAGAAGTAGCTGAACCATGATTTTTCGCCTGATTTTTATACTATTAAGTGAGTCTGAAATTGAACACGTACAACTTTTTCTTGGCAAAACCTTCCATCTTATATTCTGTAAGGTTTTGTTTGCCCTCCTGATTTTATAATCAGTTTTTTATATTTTATTTTTATTTTTATCAAATATTTGAACGCTTGTTATGCTGATTATGAAGTAGAAATAAACTTATACTTATTCTGAGGGTGAACAAATTCGGTAAGCAAATACCGTACCAAATCGACCGAACTATGAGCTGTCGTCGGGTTACCTGTGCAGATCGGGTTGATAGGTGCAATTATCTTTTTCTTCGGTCTAATGATAGAAATGTTAATATCCAACTCAATCCAAATAAATACATATAAAGCTTAAGCATACACCTGAAGCAATTGGTCCAGGAATCAAGGAGAAAAGCGATTTTTTTCAATGATGTAATGATAAATCTCACATTTTGTCTACACCGAGATGCGTGTGCTGTTGTTTACGTATTTTATTCAGTCTTTTAATTCACAAAAACTTTGCATTCCTCGGATCAATATGACAAAAAAGTCTTCTTTTTTTTCAAAATTTCTGATCTAATGCTACTCATGTGAGTTACGGTGCATCTTCATATATTTGTGAATAGTAAGTACGTATGAATAGTAAGTATGTTTATTTCGATTTTCCGTTACAACAAAACAGAGAAGCAATACAGGGCAAAACAAACAAATATACGGATAATCAGGAAAGAAGGCAAAATCTAAAAAATATTTAAGACGTGCATCACGCATGTCTACTTCCCCCAAATAGCAAACAATACATTGAAGTAATTTAAAAAAAGATAGTTCGGGCGTAGATACTTGGGTGTGGAGTTTGAACATAAGCTGCAAATAGCGATAAGACAGACAGATAGATTTCATTTCGATTCATTCGCAAAAAATAAAACAATACACAAAAAAGAGAAAGGCGAACAATCTGGAAAGTAAACAAAACCTAAAAATAAGTTTATAACAGTTGAGGTTGCGTGAAACTAACTACCTTTCCTTGCTCTCTATGCCTTTGCGCAGGTGGATCCGTATGCGTATTACGCAAGGATGCTGTAGCAAGAGTGTAAATGGCTATTCTATTCAATTCGAAAGTCTTGCTGCACACGAACAAACATTTCAATCAATCAGGCAAACATTTCAATCAATCAGGCCATTCCATCAACGACTTTCTGGTAATTGGAATAGAAAAACTATATCGAGATCAAATATACCGGCAAACGAAAGAAACCTATTTTATTAACAAATTCAAAACATTAGAACCTCTAGGGATGAATTTAAGAGATGGATAAATTCACAATTTATGCTAATTTGAACATTACATTTCATTGTCACTTACACTTGATTTCTATTTCGCGGTTTAAGTCATTTCCTTACATTGCAGCCATGACCCTTAAATGAACTTAGGCGATACCACAATTTTATTTATATCTCTCTATCGCAAACAGACCCAACATTTGAAACCAATAGTTGTAGTTATAGTTGTAAAATGCTTGTCTGAAGAAGTCTGACCTCGGTCAGACGAAACGTTACAGAAATATATTTGTGTTCGTGTGCAGCAAGACTTTTGAATTGAATAGGATAAGTTTATAACGTAATAAACACGTTCACTCACCGAGGAGAAAAGAAAACAAATCCCAACAAACATGAATATTAACGGTTTGTCATTATTCAGGCGTCTAACCTCAAACGTAACATGATTTTGAAGTTAGACGCCTGAATAATGACCAATCGCTAGGGAAAAAAACATGAAAATGGCATTTTAGGGTGAAGGGTGACGCGAAATAAACAAAGATGGTTATCGAGCAGCGACACCTGTGGTGTAGGTTGGATAGGATAGGATAGGATTTACATATTTATCCCGGGGGAGAGGAAAGCCGATAATACGGCTTATCCATATGGCGAACCACGGCCTCTCGTCCGGTTACCATTCCAAGTCGGGTATGGGATTAGTTTTACTGTATTGTTTGTTTTCGGAAGCATGGACTTGGTGGTGGAGGAAGCCGTAACCGACCAGCGGTTACGTGAACCACCCAACGACGGCGAGGAGTCCAGCAATCCTCTCGCACATAACCATCCCTGCATGGGATTCGAACCTGCGAACCCACGCAGAGTAATTAGAGGTGCGGTGGCGAGCGTATTCCTAACGCTTAGCCCGTTGAGCCACACCGCCGCGGTTGAATAAAGACAAGTCGAACAAAATATATATATATATATATTTATCCGTATATATATATATAATCAATAATATATGATAATTTGTAATAATTGATGTGATTCTGAACTCACCTGACTAATAGTCTACTGGTCGATAAACAACAATAATAAAAGCAGCGTAAAAGAACTATATCTATATCTAAACAACAACAAACAAAATAAAACATAGCAAGAGCATCTTATGCCCCGGCGTTCCGACTTCAGTATTAATCAAAATCCATGTGCTTTGTGAACTTGTACTAAAATCTATTTCACGCATTCCTTGAAGTTTCTAATCCCATACGTTTTATTACCTGCATCTGTCTGTACGCATTTTGTTTTATCCATATATATATATATATATATATACGTTTTGTGTCTACAAATGAGCTAAATTATATATTTCACAAAATCCACCTAAACTAAAGAAAAAACGCATTAGCTTTGATGAATTTTAATTTCTCATTTGATAATAATTTACAATAAATTGCATTTGAAAAAATCAGGTAAAATTTCAACTAAATTAACTATTACATTACAGTGAGCAATAAACAAAGCTAACTACATCTAGTAATGGACAAAAAATCAACTAGAATCTATCACAATTTTCCTATTCATTTTAAAAATAAGAAGAGAGAATTGAGGCGACTTAATCATGAAGCGTACCAAACCTTTTCATCAAGATAACGGCCCAGGTCGGATACGGTTGGACAAAATCAATTTGACACAACTCTGGAATATAAAATAATAGTTCCATATGCATGGACTATATAAATTGGCAAAAAAGTGATCGTAGAAAAATTATACGACAGGGGTGCGGATCGAGAGTGTTATTCGTAAAAAGCTCAATCAAGTCTTAAATTACTGTTCTTTCACCGCCTGTGATATCTTTGATTAATGAGTTAGTTTAACTACAAAGCATTGATCAAAAAAGTATTCAAAATTGTCAGTAACTCAGTTAATGGGCGAAGAGTCTATTGTTTTATATTATGGCATAGCGTTTTCTTGAATTACATTATTTCTAAGATCTTAATTTTTTAAAATCAAACAAATTATTGAAAAGTTTCAGATTATATTTAGATGGCGGAGAAAAGTATTTTTTAAAGATTCTAAAAGCGAATAAATTTTTATAATCATTTCTCTACAATGGTAATGGATGCTAAAGTTCATAATAAAAAAATTAACAATGCGTTTACTTTGCAATGATTTGTGCAATAGCATGCGAAACGAGTGTCCAAAATTATTATAACAAATTCAACTTTAAATCTATTTATCAAATCAAATAAATCTTTAATTTTTTTCAATTATTTCTCAAATTTTTTTTGTTTTTAAAATTGCAAAGATTCTCTTAAAAATACATAAATATTAAAAGCTTACAATACACATAGAAATCCGCAACAAACGTGACTCAATGAAATCAGATCTTATAAATCAAACTAGGTACAAACTATGCAATGAAGCAGTACGGGCACCATAAATTAAGAGTGTAGTTCACTTCAGGATCTGAGATTTAACCTCAACATAGAAAACAAAATATAGTTACACTTCGCTTGCAATGAACGATTGTTCTATTTAATTTACCAATGATTCCAACAATGGACAATTAAAAATAATGTTAAAAATACCAGACCCAAATTTTTCTTAAATTTTGATTAAAAAAGGAACAAAATTTTTTTATTTTGACAAAGCAAATAATTTAGCAATACATAGACACAATATAAACACAATTAAGAAGCAAAATGAACGAGTAATTTTTCTTATGAAAATTCTGCTCTATTCAACTACTGAGCTCCTTTTTGGGCAACTCCAGTAGTCTTATGTCCTGTATTCATAGAGACAATGCCAACGTAGATAGCCAGTACTACATTCAGCATTGAAGGAGGAGCTCCAGAGGTGTGTGTACCAATATGGAGGTAACTAATTTTGTTCGATTATTTTACATCAAGTTATATAAAGGGACTGAAACCAATGGACCTTTCCCCGACCTTTGACTTCCGAAAAATTCTTCCTATACTTCACCATTGCAAAATTTTTGGGGCTATTTTAAGAGTGCTTTTGCCATCTTGGCGCCTGTAAAATGGGGTACATGTTTCAAACCATCACTATGATTCATCGCATACAACAATCTGTTTTTTTAAAGTACCGTAAAATAATTTTGACCTAGTCTATCACAGCTATTTCTACACTAATTTTTTATTACTGCGATTAAATTAAAACTCCTAGAAAGACAGAGTGATCATTGAAATTATCTGATCTATATTTAAGTTTCCAAAACACAACTGAAAACTAACGAATAGAGTTCAAAAACGCGAAAACGAGATAATGTTCACGACCACGCTTGTAAATCTGTCTGAGTGAGAAAAGTGTCTGAGTGGATGCGAAAAGGGAACGATGTTACGTCACTTTTTGCATCTTGCTGATTGGCCAATGTTGGAAGTAAACAAGGAAGTCGATGCTCGGGGAAAGGTCCATAGGCAGGGGGTATATTCACTTGGCTAACACAGAAATTCCATTCCGAATAAAATTATTGCCTAACCCTAACCTAAACAAAAATTATTATGCTATCTCATTTTGAAATTTGACAACAAGCTTTCTATGAATTCCAGCTCAAATGCAGGATACAAAATACAGAAGCGCAGGTTTGCGAGCAGTTAAATGAACTGTTAGCTGCAAAATAGTGAATAAGCTGGCATGGTAGTAAGCTATATAGTACTAATCGCAAGAATATGAAAAATTAAAATTTGCTCATCAGCATAACCTATGAATTGAAGAGTGTATTAAGATTGCACAGTCATTATTCTAGTGACCCTTGAACTTTATAACTTCCTGTTCTTCTGCTTAGTCATGGTATTCAACATCATACTGATGTAAGAGGTCAGGAGGTCATCCATTTTGTAACCCTGTGCAATGAGAAAATTTGATTTCTTATTGAAATGAATAATGACAATACCGTATAAAAAGTGGCTTTTATGGCAATCTCATAGGAGAAGAAATACAAAACACACTAATTTTGTTCGACTGTGCCCATGTATGTATGTATGTTTATTTGTCTCGTAAAAAGCAACAAAAGCGTAGATAACGGGATGTAAGCACAAGAACAAACTGGCCCAAAACACAAACGTGCGCATTGCACTCCCTTTGAAAAGTTTTAAACAAAAATAAATTTAATAAATATAATATGGTCCCTTATACAGACAGTTGTGCAAGGAGAGTGGGTGAGTGTGGTAACAGGGGTAAGGGTGGAGTATACAAAACTGTTTGTACAAGGGAATTTGTAAGACAAGACAACATCCATAAATAAAACATAACACGAAATAAACTGCATGTATAAATAATACTAAAATTTAGCATTTGGACATTAATACAACACCTTTGTAATGGGGGAAAGCATAGCTTATTAAATACTCGCCAGTATCATATATTGACGCAATGGAAGACGTCATACAGGTTGCTAGAGGTAAAACTGACATTGCAAAAGTCCCTCAGGAAATGCTTTGTGAAGACAGATTTTGTTAAAGAGTCAGCCAAAATGTCCGCCTATCTTGCCTGCCCGCTTCCGATTTTATTTCATGATTATTGTTTGTTTGTTTATTCCTACTGAAATATATACTGTAATGAAATATTCAGAAATGAATAAAACATTTATCTTTCTTGCCAAATTGTATCCCGTATTTTTAGTGCTTTCTGTCAACATAGTCAGAAGTATAGCTTAGTTATAGTAAATCATAAAAAGTACCGTAATTCTTTGAATATTATTTACTGAAAGGAGGGTGATGATAGCTTACCAGAGTTGTTTCACACAGAAGTTTGCTACCTCTGACCATGTTTCCAATTGTCATGTGGAAATAAGTGTTTCCACTGCTCCAGTTACTGATTTTTGTGAAGGGGAACGTTACCAGTATCTGTCAGAATAAAAAAAAGGTTAAAGATGTTTTTTTTATTTCAATTATAGGAGATTACTTTTCTTCAAAAAATTTGTCATTTTCGCAGTGAATTTTCTTTGATTCATATCAGTTTTTATGACCAACTGTTGCATAATGTACTGATATATTACTGGTGTACTGGTAAGCTTGCACATTTGCTCCAGATACCACACCCTATCCAAATTCTTTTTCCAAGTTATCCTATAAGAGCTTTACTGTATTTATATTCATAGTCAAGTTTATTTTTTCCATCCAGTGAGAAATAACCTACAAAATTGAGAAAAAATAATATTAAACACACATTTTACTGGGGAACGGAAGTCACAGGGAACCAAGATTGATTATATCTAATTAAATTTCTAATGATGGAAATTAAGTATACCTGCCTGTTGTTGTTAATAGGGAAACTTTAGAACTTACATTTTTAGATTTTGGATCAATCAAGCTGACTCCATGCTTATTGATTGCTATCAGTAGATTCTCTGGGTAAGCTTGTTCTGTTGTTTGCTGAATTTAAATGAAAAAACAAAAGTTAGATAACATTGTAGCAAAAAAATCTTGAATGTTTAAATTTTTTAGAATCAAATTCCGAGATTAACCTACCACAGTTTTAGATAGGTATTTTGGGTGGTAGAGTTCATCTGGTCTTACATCCAGTACCGGTAACTTATTTAACGAGAATATAGGTCGGAGACCGAAGACTTATCGATCAAAAGTTAGAGGTTCCCCCCAAAACAGAAACTGCAGTTTCGATTCATGCGCTCTTACTCCATTACTCCATAGTGACACCGTGTGTCCCGTCACGAATTAATTATTAACTCGCTAATTATACGACATATTCCATCCAAAATCAAAAGGCTTCTGTTCCGAGATATGGTGAATGCACATGCAAAATTTGGAGCAGATTCAACCTCGCTTTCGTGAGATATCGCGTGTATCTAACAGACAAACAAACAGATAAGTACCTATCAACATACTTACATCAAGATCGATAAGTAAGATTAATGAGAATTTAAATGTTTTTTTGGTTTTAATTCAGTTCCCACAAGCTTAACTCATTCATCTTGACCAGGGGTGAAATATAATGTATTACAAAATAGGCTCCTATAGCAATTCTACGAAAGACACTAGTAATAGCTTAATCTTAGAGTAAGCCAATAAGTGGCCCTTCGAAGTGTTTCATCAAGCCCATTTGTGCCTGCTGACCTCACCCAGGCCGTAGTGAAGAAACACTGCGAAATAATCTTATCAAGCAATTAAGCTAGGAAAAAGTTTTCTTGTCAGGGAGTAAAGTAAAATCATTTTTGCACGTAATATTGTGTCCCCTATCCAACTGCTCTGGGCCCCCTTGCATAGGCTCCCAGTTGGTTAACGCTTCTGTAGACAGTATCGAAATTTATTATCCATTTCTTACCTCTAACAACGCCGATACCAAAGTATTTTTACAATGTGCCATTTCAATCAAATGGTGTGACTACAAGAGAATCCTGCTGTAGTGGCAAGGAGTCTAACAACCCTCTAAATTTGAATTATCATACAGAAGCAAATTAAGCTAAAAAATATATTTTGGTTTTAAAAATATACAAGCATACCCTGACATCGAAAAAGGCAGAACCGAATGTCTGCCATCGATAAACAATCTTCAAGAAGGAAAGCTTGGATTCATCTTTGCTTTTACCACTGTGCTTGTTGAATTGAGCAACAATTTGCTGAAAACATAAAATAGGAATTTAATTACATTGCACTGTACATAGTATGGCACAGGAAGTCTTTCATTATTGATGTTAAATAGAAGCTTTCATTAGTACAATGTTAATTCAAAGTTATTTATTGGTATAGGTACATTATATTGGTGCTCCAGAGGTATGTGTACCTATATGGAGGTAACTAAATTTGTTCGCTTATTCTACATCAAGTTGTGTAAAGGGACTGAAACCTATGGGCAGGAGGTATATTCACTTGGCTAACACAGACTCGTAATGAAACTAAAATGAGGAAAATAGGAATAAAATTATAGCCTAACCCTAATCTGGTACACTAACTACGGGAGTACTCCTTGTATCTTTTGCACATATGCCAGCCTCATGGTAAGCTCATTGCGGAGCGCACATATCAAAAGTTCAGATATTTAATGCTAATATTAGAAGTCAATAAATATTAATAAATCATAATAAACTGAGCAATTTTTTAGGACAACTGAAAGAGGCTCGCATACTCTTAAGATCTTATAGACATAATTTGATTTTCCCAGACCTGGAGAAAGAGCCAAAATTTCTTAAAGAAGGATCGGGAGTCTGGGTTGGATTCTCAATTTTTGTCAACTTAGATGCTGGAGTAGTATTGGAATTGATTTTGAGCTTATCGGTAAAATCTGGACCCCTGCATAAAAAGTGGCTTCCTAGGGCTCCCGAAGTATGCGAACCAAGATGGCGGACATCGGAATGTAATATGTGTACTAGGTTAGGGTTAGGCCATAATTTCAGGTATAAATACTACGGGAGGCTCTTGGCTAGTCTTCGAACTGATAATAGGACTAAATAAGGAAAATTTGAAAAAAATTATGGTCGACCCTAACCTGTTACCCATGTTACGTTCCGATGTCCGCCATCTTGGTTCGCATACTTCGGGAGCACCGGCTTCCTATACCAAACACTGTTTTGCATCGAAACAAGTTTTACTAGCTAACTTATCTTATAGATCATTGGTTCTCAAAGTGGGGTCTGGGAAGCGATTTTGGGGGGGCCGCGAAGCAACTTGACACCAACACAGAATCACTGCTGCGATGGTTTTCAGAAGGGACAGTGCTGAAAAGGTTTTAGTATCTACTTGTGCAAAATACACGGTTTCCTGCAAGAAGTAAAGCATGAACAACACAAATAATTTCTCAGATGCTTGTTTCCTGGTGCGCCTATCTCTGTCATGCTACTCTACATTGAAACAACACTGTTATAGATAGAAAGCCACATTTCTCCATATGATTAAGTCAGCTTATCACCTATCCTCTATGCTTAAAACGAATGTGAAATCCATCTTACCCTCTTCCAGTCATCAGGCGACATCAGTCTCAATAAATCTGTCGGGATAAGTTCTTTCAACATTCGTGGAATATTCGGAAACTGGGTCTTGTCTTCTCCAAATTTAACTCTAAAAATAGAAATGAGTACATCAAGCTTGAAAATGTGTCAAGTTCAGATGTTGTACCTAGCGAAAAAATTGTGTTACTACTGACAACACTATTTGAATTTATGTTTAGAAATTGAACTGTAGAAAATGTGACAGTTTAAACGTTTAAAACAGTGTTTCTCGAACGAGGGGGTGCGCCCCACAAGAGGGGCGTACACAATATTTTGAGCGGGCGTGAAGCTAATTAAAATTCAAAATATTTGTTAGATTTGATTTTAACTGCCTTATTTTGGATATTTACATTTTTTTATTGTTTACATTTATTTACTATTTACACATATTTTCAACAGGATTTTCAAACAAAACACACTTTCGCCCCACTATCCTCTTGTACATATTTATCGGAGGTGAGGAGGCGAGTGTATTCCTAAGGCTTGGCAAGATGAAACACACCACCACGCCTAGATTTAGACGGGCTGATGGTAGGCAGATAGACATGAAATCCAATAAGATTAGGCCATCTTTATAGCTTTTCATTTCTCCTATGATAAGGGATAATTAAAACCAATTCTATTTATAACACAACATACCTGTAAATCAGAGCTGCAAGTTGTATTCCTTCTTCTCTGGTGCATTTATGGTAACCTCGCAAGAACTTAGGAACTTCTTGATAGTAATGGAATATTTTGTCAGCGTTGGAATCTTTTCCAGGAGATACCATCATCCATAGCTTACGCATGAAAAAGACTTGGTATGTCAGCTGTTGTATGGAGCCTGAATACAAGTATATTGGTGTGTTCGAAGTATTAGTGATAGTATTAACATATTTATACCAGGGGAGAAGAACCAATAAAATGGCATAATTATATATGGCCTCTCGTCCGATTACCAGTCCATGTCGGGTATGGGAGTAGTTACCTAGTTGTTTGTTCTCTCAGATGTGTTGGGCTTGATGGTGGAGGAAGCTATTACCGACTAGCGAATACATGAATCACCAACGGCTGGATTTGAACCTGTAAACCCACGCAAGGTAATCAGAGGTGCTGGGATGGGCATATTCTTGACGCTTAGCCTGATGCGGCATACATTCACATTTAATAAAGTTTGGTTCCAAGTCTTGCATGGACCCCAAGTTGAAAAATTATCTATATGTGATATTGAAATATATAAGATAATTCTTACCATCTCGACTGGGTCTTGCTTTTTTCAGCCAATCTGTCAGATGTCTCACGAAATCGAAAAAGAAATCGGCTTCTGGAACGCTGATAACTTTGTCAGCAATCTTGACAAATAAACTGAATCCTTCTGATGATTTAAGTCGAAGTCGATTCGCGATATTGTGGCAGAAATCCTTTGCACGAGTGCTTGACTCAACTTCAAATGCCTGTCAAAAAATGAGTAGAGTTGTAAAAATGAACCAGATCAATACATAATCATTCACTAAAGGATTTCAACTAGATTTTTCACCATCAAGCATAATATCTTAATCGAGACAGATTAAGTTTGAAAAGGCGCCCACATTGTTGAAAATACAAAATTTGTTTTTTGTTCTTGTCACATTGTGAAATCATTTGCCATGTTATCTGGTGAATTTATTACTGTAAGTATAATCAATAGTCGCATTTTTTTCTCTTGCCTTTCACGCGACATATTTTTCAATTTGTTGTGAAAAAACTAATTTTTTTGTATGGCCAAAATAGATGTCTAAAGTTGGTTATATGGCCCACCGACAAAAATGTTGCACACCCCTGCTTGCACACGCCGAGGAAAAATAGTCAAAGTGAGAAATTTATCAAATAAGGTTGCCAACCATTGCATCAAATCCGTGTAAAAGAAGATAATTCAATGAAATCTTTGTACAAACCTCATCAGTACTATCGGGGAAATAGACTTTGTGGAAAATCTGAGTTGTTTTATGCTGGATGGCTTCAACTTCTACAATGTGAGGAGGATATTTTCGATGCCCATGGCGCAAAGTTCTCTGAATTCTGAAATAAATATTTTGAATAAATTTGAAATACATAAGTATTGAGGTAGTCCCACCTTTACACTGAACACGGCTCTAGGATAGGATTTATATATTCGCCCCTAAGGAAAGGGAGGCCGATAAGGCAGCTAAATCATATCACGAACTATGGCCTCTCGTCGGGTTTTCAGTTCATGTCGGGTATGAATTAGTTAGTCAGTTATTCCTAATTAACGAAATATTTGATAGTTCATCTGCTGGGCTAATGTTTTTATAATAATAAGATGCACAATGTAACAATCAGCGTCATTATGACATTATTTTCAACAGAAAGTTATATTCATAAAAACTATAGTCGTAACTTCAGACATAAGTAGGCCGGATAAAACACATAATTGTAATTGTCCACCCCTGATATAAGTGTATGATTCTCTCTGACATGGCGCCACATTTATACAGAGAGTTGATAGTTGTTGGAAAGACTTTTAGGGTTTACATATAATATATTTTTTCATTACTACTATCTAGATAGGGAAGTAATATGTAATCCTGATTTCTTTAAATGCAATGCTATCGTTTTTAAGTCTTATTGGCAACACGCCAACCATCATACCCATGGACACAATCATTTACTATTGGATTGTTTGCAAACAAACCCACTAAGGATAATCAGAGGTAATGTGGCAAGTGTATTCCTAACTTAGCATGAGTCGCCATGCCGCCTGGCCATGGCTAGCAGATACTCACAGTAAGATAGCTAAAGGTCATCGATTTGAAACAGATTATCTGATTTATATTGAAAAAAATTTAATCTATATTTGAGTACTCCCATAGTATGTGTACCAGGTTAGGGTTAGGCGATAATTTTAATACAATTTTTCTCTTTTTAGTTCTATTACGAGTTCGGGGACTGTCTCTGTTAGCCAAGTGAATATCCCTCTGCCAATAGGTTTCAGTCCCTCTATACAACTTGATGTAAAATAGGCGAAAAATATTAGTTACTTTCATATTGGTACACACACTTCCGAATCGCCCATATTCGACCAAACTTGCTCCCTCTTAAGCAATGTTTTAAAGAAGTAATCAAAAGTCTTCTGGACATACCTGTGCACACAATCGTTTGCCATTGGGTTGCTTCTTCTTGATGTCAGAAACTTTTGAAGATGTGGCTGAAGCTGAGTGCTTGGAGCAAAAACTCCTGTAGCCAACCACATTAGTTCCCATCCTCTTTCTTCGCTGTAGCTGTAAAATAGAGAAGGGCATTCGATGATAGATAATTTTTGTAAAGTCAAGTTAAGTTTATTTTTTCTAACCAGTAAAAGGACAAAAAATAATGCAAAAAATCAGAGAAAAATGATATTTACAATACTCAGGAAGGGAAGCCATGGAGAACCAAAACCGGTTATCGAGCAGCAACACCCAAGGTTCTAACATATAATTCAACAGAATGGGGTGGAGAGTTTCAAAATTACTGTTAATAATGATAAATACCACAAATTAGCCAACTAACATCGATTATTAGAGATTATTACTTAAAATTACCATGTAATAAATGAGCCATAAGTTAAGTGTTAGTAAGACAGTCGATTATTCCTCTTTTGCATAATCATCTCTCATAGAACTCAAAATCACTAACTCACAGAGGTGATTATCAGTGTAGTCAAGTGGATAGGATTTACATATTAATCTCAAATGAGAGGAAAGCCTATAAGACAGCTTAATTATATGGTGAACCACAGCCTCTCGCTCGGTTACTGTAAAAACCAAGTCAGGTATGGGATTAGTTACTAAGAACTGAAGTTGTTATGGTCGCACGTTATGGTTCAATCTCATTTATTTCTGAGTGGAGACAAGCAAATTTCAATAACAGTAGTTCTCAAACGGTGACCCCACAAGGGAGTCGTAAACAATTTTTTGAGGAGGCGTGACGCTAATTAAAAATTAAAATATTTGTTAGATTTAATCTTGCCTGCCTTTTTTGGATATTTACGTTTCTTTATTTTGTATATTTACGTTCCATCCATATATCCATACATTTTTTGAACAAAACATACATTCGCCTCACTAGTTTTTATTTGTAGCTTAATGTTAGGTAATTATTATTTAGGCTTAAAAAGTTTGAGAACCATTGTTCTTTAAGAAAAAAATAAATAGCATACCTGTTATTTGTCAATTACAAAAAAAATATTGCGTACAGATATGGATTGGAAAAGTTTTTAGTTTTAAATTCCGTTTCATCCTTGACCAGTATATCAAACAGAAGAAACCAATCTTTCAGAAAAATGTATCATATGCTTACTATTGTCTGTTGTTTGTCAATTGTTTCATCAGTTGGCAATACACTTCATCTCTGAGAACTTCAACTTTCAGCGGACTATCGAAGATTTGGTCAGTTTGTTCATTTCCGTGTCTTGGACGCTTTGATGGATAATCCCCCATATATTTCATGATAGGTGCACAGGAATTAAGGACAAATTTTTGTAAAAACATGCTTTCAATGTTAGAAATAAGATTGTAGTTTATCACAACGCAGAGAAATGATTCAAAATTAGGATTACACATAAAAAGGTTGTCAGACGAATTGTCACTGGAATATATTTGTCTTAGTGTGCAGCAAGACCAAGGTCAGACTTCTTCAGACATACATAGTTCAACTATGTTCACAGAAACGTTACAGAAATATATTGTGTTAGTGTGCAGCAAGACCAAGGTCAGACTTCTTCAGACATACATAGTTCAACTATGTTCACAGAAACGTTACAGAAATATATTGTGTTAGTGTGCAGCAAGACTCTTTGAATCACTTAGGATTGTTATCTTCACTCTTGCTACAACATCCCAGCATTATATTCATATGCATACCAGCACATAAGTAGTTAGTACACATAAGTAGTTAGTCACATAAAAATCCAATCGATAGCACATGTGGAATAAAAGTCGGGAGTTTTTTGAGTTCTTTAATAATTTTAAAATCAAAATCTTATTCGAAAATCAAAGTCGGAGACAAAATTATTATATTCTTTATGGTAAGACGCCAGCTATCGAGGAGTTGAGAGTTGGAGCTTCTGGTATTATAGTCATGTTACCCCGGTTTTTGAATTCGTGATTTGTTTTTCAATGAACTGTTTATACAAATACGTCCTATCATGCAACTGTTTTCAAACCAATATTAAACAAGTTTCAAAAAAGGATATCCAAAAATATGGCAACAGCTTCTTGAGCCATTTCGTCATGCATGGACAGTTTTGCCAGTAGAGGTTGCTTGATAGGTTCTCTGCTGATCGCCCACAACTTATCTTTGCTCCTTCTGGTTTTGTTTGATACAACTCGACTCAGTGTTTGGGGAAGTGGAGGCCTGGAAATATGGATTGGTAAAATATGTTAAATTAAATTAAATCACCTGCCAATAGAAAAGTTGTTTAACATCTTTACACATTTATATAGTTTTTGATTTTAGACACAAAATGGATGGAACCTTTTACTTGATCGTTGTTGGCTTCTTGATGAAAAACTTATCGCTTCACAATAAATGGTCCAATTGGTTTCAAATGTTCAGTACATGGAGGTGATTGGAGTCTATAGGTGGTCTTTATTTTTATTTTTTTATATATTCTCTTCCAACAAGGTCCAACATTTTAGACCAGGCCAGCACAACATACGGCCCGCCTTTGTGCGGCCCGCGGGTGATTTGGAAACACACCACTACTCGGCTAACAATCAAAGCCGGCATTGTTATGCAAGGGCGCCGCTACTCTGATCATATTCGAAATCCTGAGATTTATGTTTTGCACTAGTTTCAATAAATATCGAACTTTGTGTAAAATTGGTGTGTCCTTCGCAACCCCCAAAATTCGTCGCTCGACCCCTCGCCCTCCAGTTTGGGAAACCAAGAGTGGGTTTTCAAGGTAGATGAGCCACTAAATACATATTTGCCATCTCATATGCAAAAATACTGTACCTTGTTTTTACCAAAGAGAATAAGATTCTTCATATTTTTAAGCTCCCCAGTAATGAAAGTGTTTCATTAAATTTAACTGTTTCATAATATTATTTTGATTTGTGGTTCATCTTGTGAAATATGTATGTGGCAAAGTTTGCGGCCCACCGTGCCTCCAGATTTATGCTTGCGGCCCTCGTGGTAATTTGAGTTGTGCAGGCCAGTTTTAGACCATATTTTTTATTACGTTCAGATGTCCACCATCTTGGTTCACATACTACGGGAGTACCTCAAAATATTGCAAACCAACCTGAAAAAGTCAGCAGCATATTCTTCCAATGTATAAGGAGCTTCAGCAGGTTCCTCTGGCTTAGATTTCTCGTTTGCAAGTTTACGAACTTGTTCTTCTAACTCTGCTGGCGAGAGGCTGAACAGAGTCTGAAATAGGAAAGAATAGGATTTACATATTTACCCCGAGCGAGCAGAGAGCCGATAAGACGGTTTAATATAAGACAATCCACGTGGCTTTTTGTTTGGTAACCAGTTCATTTCAGGTATAGAATTCGATTTTTAGTAATTTGTTTCAGATGCATAGACTTGAGGGTGGAGGAAGCCGTAACCGACCAGCCATTACGTGAATCATCATACGACGCCGAGTTGTCTAGCAATCCCTCTCGCACATAACTATCTATGCATGGGATTCGAACCTGCGAACCCACGCACGGTAATCAGAGATACAGTGGAGAGCGTATTCCACAATGCACCACACAAACAATATACAATCAGTATGTTAGAAAAATATTCTTAGTAACACAGAGATGTTTGTGCTCTGTTTATCCCAGCTGAGCAAATCAATAAAGTTCTAATTTTTATACTAGATTTCCACGTCTAATGCCGCTGATTTATAAGGTGTAACTATTTTTAGGATCAATTATTTTTAGGATTTTTAGGATCATAATGTTACTGTTCATCATTGCCTGTCTAATTTATTATAGCCCATGTGGAGTGGTTGGCATGGAAATAGAAACTAAAATCAGAAATGCGCTATATAGAATCTTAAATCCCCTCAGTGAAAAGTAAGGCCATGTGCTAATTGCAACCAAATAGTTCACAATTCCTAACATAATTTGTTTGTAATCTAATTCTTACCACAATATCTTGAGGAGGTTTTTTCAAAGTTGGGAGGACATATACAACATCAGTAGGGAAATCCCCTTTCATATCACTCCTATCATTTGTTCCATGTCTCCATCCATGTGAGAGAAAATCAACGCCAGCTTCTTGGTCGAGAATGAGCAGATCTCCTTTGTTGAATTTCATGAATGTATCTCCTTGTTGAACTGAAAATTTGGAATAAATCATGAACATTTGTTATTATATCTATTATAGGAGAGGGAAGTTGATTAGATGGATTATTTTTTGGGGGCATTTTATGTTCGATTTTACAAGTCATCAAGCAAATATCTCAAGCCGAACTTTGGATCAGACAAATTTAATGAGCCATGAATGATGGTACTATCTAAATCCGTTGTTCTCGACTTTTATTCCTTTCTGGCCCACTTTCATTGTACAAAAATTGTGTGGCTCATCAACTTTTTCAAGCCAGAAAAAAACTACTAGCACATCAGTACTGCTATTCTACATTTGAGTGACTTTGCTTTGACTACCTAGATACTTTAAATCATTCAATGTTTAAAGTTGAAAGGGTGATTTCATAGATGTCAAATAGGATCTAGAAGGATGAAGTTGGTATACTCACTTTTATTTGGGTTGTTATGCAAAGACACGACATATCTTGACCGTTCTTTCAATCCTTCTAAAAAGTGAGCGACAAGCTCACTGACATCATCAGCATTGTTGGAGGTGAAAGTGTACTCATCCCCTCTAACTGTGTTCAGCGTGAAACTAGACCCTGCTGCTTTTGTAGAAGTACGGTTGCCAGTAATTCCTGTTATTTCTGGGTAGGAAAGTTCCAACAGTACCTGCTCCTGATCGTCCACTATGTAGACCCCTAAGGAAAGAATATTATTACACTAAATGAGTGTTGCTATTTCAGTTGATTTGGGATAAAAGCAATGATAATGGAGTTATCTTGTGTCAAAGCGAATAAAAAAAAAGTGAGGTGGAGTAAGTGTTTAAGGGTGGGGTAAGTGTTACTATCATTTCCATTAATCTTATAAAAACAAATTTTCTTGTTTATGTTGAAGGAAAAGCTATTAAGACCAGTAAATCATAAAAAAGATCAATCCTTCATCTGTTCTTCATCATATTTTCAAATTCTGGTTAGAAGGGTAAGCTTATGAATGGGTTAAATCATATACAAAACTGCAACTCATTGTCTAATTAACATTCCAGCCCAGGCATGGAAATAGCTAACAAGCTAACCTATACGTGGATGCAGCTCGCAGTAGTTTTCCATCGACTTGGTCAAAAAAGAATTTTGCGCTTTCCACTAGGTTTGATTTTAGGCGGGGGGGGGGGGGGGGCCTTTTATTAAAATCATTTTTAAAATTCAGGCTCCTATTTTTTGAGAAACACAGTTGTTCATCTCAACCATAATTTACATGAATTAGACAACAATAAATCCGGCTTTTAGTGTGTCAGTGATCAAAAGCTGGTAACTTCTCTATCAGAACTCTTTCCACTTTTAAGTGAGAAATCATGACTTTTGTTTTAGCAAATCCACATAATATTCTAACCTGTCCAGTTGACAGCAATAATCACTTCATCTTTTGGTAAAGACGGTCCAGAAAAACGATAAGCTTCATAAAAACGAGAGAATAGCAATGGCCATTTGTATCGAGCAAATGTAACAACGTCCTCTTGCACTCTTCGTGGTTCCCAACGCTCTCGAAGATAATTGGCCTAAGTAATGAAACAAGATTTTAAACAAACAAGTCTTAAATTAGTACGATGGTGGTCTAGTTTATAGCACTCAAATATCTCAAAACCCTATCTTACCCATATCTATTTATAGCATTTCAACTATCCCTGTTAAATTTGTTTTTTCAAAAGCCTAAAATTTGCTACTGGATTGGTTTATGAATTCATAATGGATTTAGGAGAATTTACATATTTATTCCGGGGAAGAGGAAAGCCGTAAACAAATCAAACATATGATGAATCACGGCCTCTTATCAGGTCATCAGCCCATGTTGGGTATGGTATTAATTAGCAAATTTTTTTTTTTTTCAAAAGCATGAACTAGTGGAATAATGAATGAATATACACCATATCTATGAACTATGTTATTTTTCACTTAGAAGGTCATGGTACAAATAAAATGTAAAATGCATTTGTTTATTGCAACCAAAACTATACTAATAGATACAATGACTTAGTGCCCCACCCAACCTTTTATTGAAAATTAAATGTTGTAAAATCTCGGGACCCATGGATATGATCAAATACCAGGCGGTATGTGATGCTTATGCCTTAAATAATCACTAAATTACCTGATTGACTCATAATGCTAAGTTTTTACGCTGTGATACTTCTTACATATACAATTACTATTGAGCAACACTTCAACACAAATATAAAACAAACAATAATATTTACTAGAAAATAAGTAACTTTTGTTGAAAAAACAAGTGACCATAAAAAAATACCAGGCGACCCAGTTTTAGGTCGCAACCTATAGGTTGGGAAGCAATGGCTTAGCGCACAACCTCAGCAAAAATGTATCTGATCGATTCTAGATCTAACAAGCCTCTTGTTCTCATTTACAGTCACACATAAAAATTCTGGTGCTCCCAAAGTAAGTGCACCAAGATGTCGCACAACCTTGACATAGTATGTGTACCCAGTTAGGGTTCGGGTTGTGCGCCATCTTGGTGCACATACTTCCGGAGCACCAAAATTCTTCTATAAAAGAAAATCATACCTTTCCATGCTCTCGTGATATGATCTGGGCCCAGTATTCCTTAGTTTTCTGACTTGAAATTGACCGGTCTGGGATGTAACTTTGGATCAGCGATATCAAGCGCTGTGCCTGGTTTGGAGATGTCAAAAAAAGTAGAAAGTTATGTTACTAGAGTTTATGTATGTATGTTTATTTGCCTCAAAATGAATTAGTATCAGCATTTTAATTAAACAGTATAACAGAGACCTTACTGGTCACAGACACAGATCTGCAAAATGCACCCCTAACAAGTATAACAGCAGTTTAGGACTACTGCGTTATATTAGGACCACAGACATGAAATAGGCTATACAAATAAAACTGCAGTACAATACACAGGACAAAAGGTATGATGATATGTGAGAGGGTAAGAAGAAAGATGATGAAATGACCGAAACTTGTTCTTGTTCGGTCATTTTTCACATTGTGGAATATTTTTGTCAAGTAGTGGTAAATGTTAGCCCTGGTCACCACCACGTAGAGATGCTGAATCTAAATAACTTTTCTAATATTGGGAAATTGAAACTGCAACTAAACGCAGAAAGATATTAGTATTGGAAAATTCATCAAACATCGAAACATTATAGGTAAAAGTATATCTACTATATTTTTCACAGATCACATTCGATTCCTGCTGTGGACTTGAAAGTTTTTTTATAAACACTGAAGAAAGTTCCTATGATGGTCTGCTTATATATATATTATATATCTCATTTAGTTACTTGTCCAGATTGGATAAAGAAGAATTATTTGTTCCAGATACATGGAACTATATTTCATAAACTGCAAAAATCATCACCATGCAGTATTCAAAACCTAAAACATTTGCTATGTACTGATAATCAGGGATATGCGGCATACAAATACATACAATACATAACAAAAGTTCTGAAAGAAAATCCCTGATAAAAAAATAATTTTACCTGAATCTCATCCCCGAATTCCACATAATACTGTTTTGCTGCAAGCTGTGCAAGATCGACATCTGATTCGCAGCGATATTCCCCAAACTTGATTCCTCTCATGACTTGCTGGTAAATAAGCTTTGTGCTGGCCTAAGAAATAAAACAATATAGAAATTCATCTTTTCATAGATAGAAATGGATGTCTAAATATACAACATTATTATATAAATTAACATAAATATGTGAAATGTTTGGTACCCCCGTAGTATGTGTACCAGGTTTGGGTCAGGCCATATTTTTCCGATTTTCCTTATTTTAATTCCATTACATGTTCAGGGACTGTCTGTGTTAGCCAAGTGAATATACCAAAGGTTTCAGTGCCTTTAGACAACTTGATGTAAAATAGGCAAACAAAACTAGTTACCTCCATATTGGTACACATACTTCTGGAGCGCCAAATATTTAGCTGTTTATACAGTCTTTTTAGCAGAGCTATTGAGTCGAAGTAGTGTTTTTAGTGATGATGAGAATTAGGGAAAAAAGAGGCAAATGGCATTAGATATAAAAAAGAGTTAATAAAGAGGATATTAATTCAAAATCGATAAAAAATAACAGCTTCGGTATACAACTCATAATACATGTCTAAACATAGAAGCATTTTTTGTGCTCAAAAGTATTTGTGAAATATATCCTGAAATTGTACTATAAAGGATGCTCCCGTAGTATGTACACCAAGATGGCGGACACCGAAACATAGTATGTAGTATACCAGGTTAGGAGTTAGGACATAATTTTATTTCAATTTCAGTTCTATTACGAATTCAGGGACTAGCCAAGTGACACCCGCAGTATTTGTACCTGAAACTAAGACCTAACCCTAACCTGGTACACATACTAATGTTCTGGTGTTCGCCATCTTTATGCACATACTACAGGAGTACCCTATGAAATGTACTGAATTGGACCACAATTATCATTTATTCCTTAATTGTGCATTTCAAATTTGGATAAACTAAATTCACAATATTTTTTTATATTATTACTCCCCAGCAGGAACTTTCCAGATCATCATGCCTACCTTATCAACAGAAGGATCATGCCATGGAGTGAATATTTCTTTCCTGTAGAACAGTCTCCATGGTGCAAGTCTTTCTTCTGACCCCTGCTCTTTAGCATATTGTTCACATTGCGATATTGCATCCATCACATGGTCACCTCCTGAGCCAAGTGATGAGACCTAGAAACATTTAGAGTGTTCGTAAAGTCTTAAAATTTTTCAAATAGCAAAGGGAGTTTATCGATACCTTCAATTGTGTTGGCTCTCACAGATGTAATAAATGAAGTAAAAATACTTGAACAATTACTGCTTAAAAACATCAATCCTGGTTAAGATATATTGAACACTGACTTTATAACAAAATTGAAATTCAAAAGGGACTTTATGGACAATTTGTATTGCAATTAAAGTAATTAAAAAAGTGAAGGTCTCTGTATTAAAAGAGCGAAAAGCTAGAAAGACATGCTAGGGTGGTGGTACCCAACCAGGAGCCTATGTGGGAGTTAAGTTCATATTTCCTTCCACAGTAAAACATTCTTCTTAGTTTGATTGACTGATGGGGGATTTCACAGGGTGTTTCCACCTTGTTGAGCATGAATTGTTTGTACATATTGGGATTTAATAAGTTAGTATATAAGTATAAGTTTATTTCGACTCCATAATCAGCAATAGACGATAAAAAAAATAGATAAAAACAAAAATAAAAGTAACTGATTATAGAATCGGGGAAGCGAACAAAACCTCGAGTAAGGTTTGAAACGTACAGATTTTAGATGGAAAGGTATTGATAAAAGAAGTAGTACGTGTTCGCCCACCCAAAAGTAAAAAAAAAACTAATTAAGGCACGCACGCACACACACACACAATCATCGAGACATGATACTGTCGGAAGCGAAAAAAGCGAGACTTGAAAGTAAAAAGGAAGGAAAATATACAAACAAATAAAAAAAAAATGAATAAATTCTTTTGCCACACCAAATTAATAATTTTATGAAGATTGCCAAATTGGATACCGAATTAGTCAACAAGAGTAATGTATTGTGGATAGAAAAGTATTCCTCAAAATATATCGTCAAGCTGATTATAATTGGAGTCACCTAATGCCAAATTGCCCAATCAGAATTGCCAAGTTGGATGTATGAAGAGGTGGGCTAGACCTGCTTCATTTGGGATCTAAAACTAAGAATAACATTACAAATATATACAATTCAAATGTATACCACTGGAATGATAAACAGGGGGGTCATGAATGTCAAAAGCCTTCGGTAGGGGACTTAAGCCATAAAAGGTTGGGAGCCACTGTGCTAGGGTATGCTGGGACTAGGCCAAGCATGATTACCGGGTTCAGAAATAGTAAGCCATTTATAAGTTTTAATTATATCAATTCAAGACCTAATGGTGGAGAAATCCTAACCTGCTGGCGTTTATGTGAACCACAGTTTGACAATGAAAAGACGAAAAATAGTAAGCCAGTTGTATGTTTCCATTATAAAGACTCAATCATGTGGGGAGAGTGGTAATGAACTAGTTAGTGGTTTAATCATCCTACAATGGGAAGTAGTCCAACAATTTCAACCCATATATTTAATTATACTTTGAGTATTCGAATTAGACCGGAATAAATGTGGAATTTTTATCCTGTCCAGTTCTCACTGATCTTTATTATCTCCATCTTATCTTATCATATCTTTATCTCACCTTATCAAACAGTGCAATGTAAAGAGAAAATCCAAATTGATCTTTGACCCCAATTTTTTCAGCAAGAACTGTGCACAATTCCCGCGCTGTAGTTGCGGAATCAGCCAGTAGTGTTTTAGTTGTCCCATCCATGAAAGTGATCGCTAATTTGAGAGGATTCTTGGATTTTGTAGCCTAAAACAAAAAGTAAAGTTCAAATGTAAATTTTAATATATAATAATATAATAATCCATGAAAATGCATTATAGGTGTCGTTGCTCTCACTCAACACAAATTTTTTTAATGAGATGTTTTACATCTCCACTCCAGACAAAGATCCAACCAAGCATACATCGTTTAATTGCAAACGCTAGACTATTTTGGTTTGCCATAGTCTACTAAATTTATCACATACTGGTACATGAGTCTTTTATTAAACTTTTTTCCCGCAGTGTCACTGCAGTTATGAGCACGCTTAACCTCTATCATATCTCATCATTAAAAGCTATGATTTGGTAACTTTATTTGTTAGTCATTAGTAGAGAGTATTTAAATGTTCCATGCTTTTAGCTTTCCTACTAAGCCATTAAGGATAATGAATCATGCGGTATAAATCAAAGGAGGTAATGTATTATAACTACATGCAGTTCCATGTAACTTGGTGGCTGGTTTCTGGTTCCATTAACAAAAGTTCTCTTCAACCTCTGCTCACAATATGGTGCATAATTTGCTGGTCCATCTTGTATAAAGCATTGCAAGTATTTCACGAAGCGTTCGCTCGGAGCGAAACAGCCAACACAAAGTGACATCAGAATCCACCCGCGAGCATGTGATGACTTTGAAGTATTTTGACTCAGCTGTTTGCAGATCATACAGTAGATTTCATCCCTGTGTATAAGGAAAAGTTGTAGGTTTCCATGTACTTCCCATAGAATCCAATATAAGTTTTCCTAAGATAGGCTAGGATTTACATATTTATCCCGGGGGAGAGGAAAGCCGATAAGACGGCTTATCCATATGGCGAACCACGGCCTCTCGTCCGGTTACCATTCCAAGTCGGGTATGGGATTAGTTTTTACTGTATTGTTTGTTTTCGGAAGCATGGACTTGGTGGTGGAGGAAGCCGTAACCGACCAGCGGTTACGTGAACCACCCAACGACGGCGAGGAGTCCAGCAATCCTCTCGCACATAACCATCCCTGCATGGGATTCGAACCTGCGAACCCACGCAGAGTAATTAGAGGTGCCGTGGCGAGCGTATTCCTAACGCTTAGCCCGTTGAGCCACACCGCCGCGCCTAATCATAGCAAGCTACATTTTCTTGTACAGTTGGGACTGTATTTATCTTGGACAAAAAAAAGAAAAAAAAGTTACTCCCATACTGTGTGCACCAGGTGAGGGTTAGACCATAACGTTAATCCGATTTTTCTCATTTTGGTTCTATTACAAGTTCAGGAACTGTCTGTGTTAGCCAAGTGAATATCCCCCTGCCCACAACTTGATGTGAAGTAGGCAAACAAAATTAATTACCTTCATATTAGTACACACACTTCTGGAGCCCCGAAAAACAACCATAAAGTATGATTAATGTCCTTTTTGCTGTGAAGCTATTTCCAACTGAAAAGTTTCCTTAGTACTTATCTACATATTTTATAGGAAGTGAATGCACCATGAAAATTGCGTTAGTTCATTTGAAATAGGTATTTTGAATGAACCTTAAGGAGAACAACACTGTTCCTCCATGATCAATTTTTGCATATTTCAATAAACATGGAACAACACAACGAATTGCGCCTCGCACAGTCACACAAGTAAAACCTCACCTCAAGTTTGGTCTCAAAATTGCATTTCCAATGATGAAATGAAGCTTTTCAAGATTGCTTGTTGGTCTGTTGATTATCATTGAGTTTTCATCTCCCTGAAATACAGTAAAACAAATCATAAGAGAGAGCAATTTCAGCAAAATGGCAATATACTGAATGTCATGGTGAAGGAGGCTGTAACAAACCAGCAATTAAGTGACCGATCCTATAGCAGAGAGGAGTACAGCAACACATATCTCACACATAATTATCCCTGCATTGGATTCAAATCTGCGAACCCACGCAGGGTAATCACGGGTGCCGTGGCAAGCGTATTCCTAACGCTCAGTATAATTTCCTCAAACTCAAACACTTACCTCAACCCAAGTATCTTCCTGTTTCAGTCTGTTTGCAACTTCTTCAGTAATTTTGGACTTTTTCTTCAGAGTCATGGAAACAATTTTCTGCTTCATGCTGCCTGCTTTGCGCTTTGACTAGAAAAAAAAAATTTAAACATTAGTTTACTGAATTGTTTAACATCCTTGGATATAATTTCTGATGTGTTTTGTTGTTATTTTATACCAAGTGCTATTTGTTACTATGGAAATCTGTTATTGGGGTTGGGGGTTGGGGACAAAGTATTGGTAAGCATACCCCTATTGAGCTTGCAGAATCAAATTATGAGGAAATCGTTATTAGCAAGAGAATTGTTAAATTCCTGGATGCCACATGATGAAACACAGCTGCTATGGTTTTCTTTGCCATCCCAGTCCATGTATATAGAAAAATCTACTTCTTGAATATTCCCGTATCCCACATGGGATAATAATGCAGCGAAATGCCATAGCAATATGACAGGGGAATAGCCAGGGGGGGGGGGGGTTAGGAGTCGAATTCCACCCTCCCCCCTTTTGAAATGTAAAAGCATGTTCCTGTATCATACATAGCAATTTTTCTTAGCTTGAAACGCTTTTGACCCCATACACACATTTTCAAGCGTTTGGCCGAAACATTGTAACAATTTCTAAAAACTAGGATTTCACCCGAGTCCTCTTTTTAGCACACTTATCCCATGACATGACTCTTTTAAGACATCCCTCTACGAATTACTCACATAGCTTCCCTGTATCTGTTCCATGTTAGCTTTATTCTTGGCATATGATCGGCCAAGTGTTTCATAAATTTTAGTCATAACAGGCGTGTTCTCCTTCATATTATTTGTCTCTGGTTGGTATTTTGGTTCTGGTAAATCTCCCATAAATCTGAAAAATATTGAATTTTTTTAATAAAAGCATAAAATTCAACAAATTGTAATAACTTTATGGTTGGTTGGTTTGGACGAAAAAGTTATGGGTTGTCTAGTGATTGAACCATCCTATCATCTTTTCTTCCTCAGAATACGAACTCTACTTCTAAATGTGGGAAGATTTCCAAAAATTTCAAAGTTGCATTTATTGTTTAAACCAGGGGGTGTGCAGCCTTTAATACAGGAGGGCCAGATACAAATATCTGGGTGAAGCTAGTGTAGGCAGTGGCGTATCTACAGTGGCGTATCTACTTTTTATGTTCGACTTTTTTCCTCGGTATGATTTAATGTTAGACTTCCTCATAGGTGACGCTGCTCTAATAGGTGACACTAACCATAACTGGTTTATCGTGTTTCCCTTCAGACTGAAATGCATTTTTTTTATCTCTCCTTTTTCTGCATGCACAATGTGTATTTTCGGCATGTGTAAAAATGAACTACTGACTCAGGTGGTTAATTAATCCCATCTGACATTAACTGGCAACTAAATGAAATGCCGTGGTTTGCCATACCATTAAGCCATTTCCTTTTCTCTAGCATAAATATAAAAATTGGGACCTCCTGAAGCGCACCAAGATGGCGCACAACCTGAACTCAGATTGTGCACCAGGTTAGGGTTCAGGGTGTGTGACATCTTGGTGCGCATACCGAAAATTGTATAAAAACGCACTGTGAATTGTCACTCACCTTAATATAGTAATCCATACAGCCAGAGCAGCAAGTTTGTCTCCCTCACTATCATGGTGAAGCAGAGGCTGCCTCAATGGCCTTTTTATATGAGTGTGATCTGCGCTTCCCTGTAAAAGAAATAAATAAATTTGAAAGAAATATTATTCATTAATTGGGTTTCTACAGGGCTCAGTTTATCCTTCTTCAATGATTTCATGTTGGTGGGTCAATGTGTATAATATGATTGTGAGAGGAAGTTTGACTTAGGCCAGACAAAATGTCACAGAAATATATTTGTGTTAATGTTCAGTGTAAGACTCTTGAATCACTCGAAGAATATTTTATTGCAAAAAGTTCAAACTTTTTATGGGAGAAAGCAATAACTCAAAACTTGCAGAAGATTTGAAAACAGGCCTTTTTATAGCCCAAAATAAACAAATCAAACATGCCCAAAAATTTTAAAGAATAGTCAAATTTGAAAGAATGCTTTTAGTGAGAGCTGAGAACTAGAAAAAATACCAGAAAAATATATGTAGGGCTGACATGGGCAAACTACAAATCGTAGGCCAAATCCGGTCTGTTGCTTAATTCAATATGGCCACCTGATGCTGCCAAAACCAAACTAAAACCAAATTTTGATGTTTTAGCAAAAAAAATAACCTGAGGAATTTCTTGAGATTGCGATTTATTTCAGTTTTGGCACAAGGATTATCATTTTTAATATTGGTAACACTGTAAATATTGTTCATAAAATGCAACTAGATGGTCCAAAAACCTTGCCCACCCCTGGTCCAGGATGAGTCTTTGTAATTGTAAAGGCATGTAAGCAAAACTATCAACTTTGTAAAACAAACCTGGAAATATGTTGTAGCGAATTTAGCAAACTTGTATTCCGAGATGTCTTCTCCAACTTCTACATCTGGTATTGATGTCAAAACTACTCCAGAAGATGAGCCTTCAAGATCCTGATAAAAGAAGAGAATATTGAGAATAAAATGAGACTTATTAAGAATCTGTCTTCATTATAAACGTACCTCAGTGCCAGGACAAATGTGTTCAAAAAGGGAGGGTTGAATTTTCTTATAGGATAACAAATATGAGTTTGCTATACCCAACTTGGTGGTATTTCTCCATGCCTCAAGGTATAGCTTCAATGGCCATAAATGTCGCGAATTTAGATTATAATTTTAAGCTGTTGTGACATATTAATTTTATTAAAATCTCTCCCAATCACCAAATGTCACAAATATTATAATTATACCATAAGTCAACACACACATAAAAAATATACAGTAGTAGTCAATAAACAAAACATATTACAACATTCATAAAAAAATTTAGTTCTTGATATTTGTTTTAGACTGTTTTTCAAGTTTTTTTTTTCATGCAAATAGCCAAACACACTTAATAAAAGTAATCACAACTTACAAACACTAAACAGAAATAAACTGCGTTTCAATAAATACAAATATATAGTAGAACTTTTTCCAAGTTTTCCAAATTGTACTGAACGCATAAAAATCTGTTTTTACACAGATATTTCAAACATTGATAAGGTTTCTAAGGCAGGCGTCTACCTCAGCAATCAAAGGTATGGTAACATGCAACATTATGCTTTGTCGGTCTCTACTATTGAAAGCTGCCGCTTGAATATAAATACCAGAAAGAGGGATCGGAGTCTAAGACCAGGCTATGTTGATTATATTCGTTCGTGTCTTAGATCGGAAGTTAAGCAACGTCGACCTCGGTGAGTACTTGCATGGGTGACCGGCTGGGAGTATCTGATTTACCATGAAAGTTCTTTGTCTCAACAAGGCTTTGTACACGCCACCGATACATGCAGACTTATTTGTTTAAAATAGAGGGTGAGCGTAAATATTTTATTATTTTCGGTTAGAAAAGTTAATATTTAGACAAACATGCAATCAGTCGCAAACAACCTACACTTGATTTGTTTGGAGTGTCCGTGTCACGCTAATAAAATGAAATTTTATAAAAAAAAATATTTATTAAGTAATAAAATATATTTATTATGAATTTTTTTTATTTATTTTTTTGCTCTGACCTGGAAGAAACATTGTACACTGTTGTTGAGCTATGCAAAAAAGACAGAGGCCCAGAGGATGCTAATTGGACTTGATTAACCAGTCATTATTGTCAGGGAATGAAATAAAATATTGTCCTAAATATGAACATTTTGGAACATTTTGCGCTCCAACCCCTGTGAGTGTCCAATGAGAGGCAGATTTTAGTAACTCTTCAAACAATCCCAGTTTATCAACCGCTAAAAATTGTATTGAACATACATAGATACATTATTGTTCAGTATATATGTTTAGATCTGGGGTTAAACTTGTCTACCACACGAAGTTTTTTTCACAAGTGAGTGGTGGCCAACTATAGGGCTTATTCATAGTAATCCATGCAAAACCGATAATGAGCACAAGATTTAGTTGGACCAACATTTCGGATGTCTATACAGATAACCCATACGGCTATCATGGTTATCCCGGCCTGTGGTGTCTGGAGTCGTTTTCTTCTATTAAGTAGAGTGGCATCAGGCTGCTTGAATGTGTCTGAAACCCTGACCTTTGTTAGTATTTTATTTTGACTTCTTTCTCAGTATGATTTAATGTTAGACTTTATCATAAATGACGCTGCTCGATAACCATAACTAGTTTATCGCGTCTTCCTTCACACTGAAACATGTTTTTCATTTTTTTTTATTAATTATGTTTGCCATTGTGTACCTACTTTCAGCATGTGATAAAATAAACTACTAACTGGCTGACTTAACACTAAACCATATCGTTGGGTTCATGTTACAACAAAAAGTTGAATCCATGTGATCCATAGATTGTGTTTGGACCCGAAATACCTCGTGTAATAAAGTGTGAAGAACTTACTCTGAAGGCAGAGGGTCCAGCTGATGATTCCATAGCATCATTCCCATTCGGAGCAAGGAAACCAAACATTTCATCAACCATTGCATTGTGGTCCACGTTTTGTGATTGCTTACGATTCTTTTGCTAAAATATAAAATAATTATTTAAATACCTTTTTGAGCAAGAATCTAAATAAGCAAATAGTTATATTAAAATATTGAAAAAGTTGGATTTTTGAAAAAAAAAGACTATTTTTTAGGCTTAACATCAGACATTTACTTGATAGTGAAGTGTAAATTGTACAATTTAGGAATCAAGAAAATACAATTCAGCAGTGAATGGGAAATTGAATAGGTAAATAGTTTTTGTTCATCTAGAAATAATATCCAAAGTTCGAGGGCTCTTTCGTTTCCTTAAAACTAACTCGCATTTTTTAGGTTATTCCACAAGCATGTATATACCAAACAAATATATATCAGAATAAACTTGAATGTGTCAAAATACCACAGTTTTCAATGAAAATTTTTACAAAGCAAATTTACTACTGTGCGAAGTTAGACAGTATAACAAGTAAATAAAGAGTGAAGTTTTAATTTATTGCGTTTCAAAAGTTATTGCCCGAATATATATAGTGTAGGTTTATTTTATTATGTTCTTTACCTGTTTTTGGTGGACAGGCACATACTTGTACATATTTTAAGTTATACCCGTTCTCCAGGTCTTTTGCACTTTGTTTGTCTGTTTGATGTTTTTTTTTTATATCAGAGTGACCAAAATAAAATTAATTGATTGATTGATAAAAAAAATATCAGATGAAAAAAACTCAATCTTGTCAAAAAGCACACAAACCTTCTCAGCAAAATCAATCCTCATTTTCTTCTGCTTCAATTCCTTTTCAGCCAATTCTCTCTTTTCTCTTTCCATGCGTTCCAATTCCTTATAGGAGAAGAAGACAAAAATATAGATACAAGTACGCAATGATAGGCGAATAAATGAGAGGCTCAACATTATATTAGGTCAACAATGCATGAGACAAACAAACAATTTAGGAAATTTGCCAAAATTGTCAAATATTTATTTAAGAGTGGGATAGAAAAGAAAGATGAATGATTCCAAATTCTGCCATGATATAAACATAAATACACAAGACAAGACAGAAATTCAGGAAAGCTAGTGATGTTAGAATTTAATAGAAGCTTATAAAGAGTGTTTAGAATATTTTTTTAATGCATTTAGAATGAATCTAATTTCAAAGCAAAATTTCAAAATATAGAGCTATTTTTATTGGGACATTCTCATCTTATTTATTAATACCTGTTGCTTAGCTCTTGACAGTTTCTTCTGTTCTCTTGCAAGAAGAAGTTTCTTGTATTGTCTTCTTGCAATCAGTCCTGTTTGTAAAAACAATAAATGTGGTCGAATATAGCAACGTATATTTGCATGTACTGATTAAATAAAAAATAAATCTGGCAAGTTATAAGCACCTCACAGATTCTATCTGCTTACCAGTTTAAGTAAAAAAGATAAATAAAAATTGGCACGATTTGGGTGTGAAAAAACCATCTAGAAGAATGAATAATTGAATAAATTCACATATTGAGGAAACTTTGAAATTAAAGTTAGCAATTAAAAATTGTACAAATCACAACAATTAGACAATTTTATTATTGGACACGTTTAGTGGCCATAACGATCGTTTCAAAATTTTGTTGTGATTGTTATTGTTATTTGTCTCCGTCTCCATTTTTAAAAAATCGCTTTTCTCTTCGAATACTGGACCAATTGCTTTGATATTTTCAGTGGTTAAAGATAAAATTTTTCTCCAGAAGGCTATTACTTTTTTTTTCGCTATGACGTCATCAAAATTATTGCCATTGGGTGGCGCTACGTGTCCATATATTTGAGCATAGCTCTCTTGTTTGAATTAGATTCTGCTTTCTATTTGCTATGAGGTTTCCACTTCATCCTATTCAAGCATCTTTTTGACGAAGGTCACATATGGATGCAGGAGTACAAAAATGTGAGGCAACATGAGGCATAGTTTGCAACAATATTATTGCTCAACCTACCTCTCACACCAGCTTGGATTCTCATTATAGCCCAGAGCTTATGTCTGTAATGTCTTCTTATCAGGAAACCACGACAATGAGCTTGGAAACCAATGATTCTCTTCCTAGCAAAGTTGTAGCGGAAAGCCAATCGACGTGCTCTCCAGAGTGCTTGTAATCGAGCATATCCAAGGGTCATCTGTAATGTTGGGAAAGATTAAATGAAGTATCTCACTATTGCATGTTCATTTTAGAGCATTAGCTCGATAAAATAATGCAACTTCCAAATTGTAGACGTTACTCAGGCATTTAAAGATCCAGAAATCATTACTTCCAACACAGTGGGCAAGCAGCAATTCGAATATATTGCTATGATTAAATATAGTCATACATCCTAAGCTATCAAAAGTTCATTTTGTTTTATCTTCGTATGGAACAAATGTGCTAGTTCAAGTATATGAGGGAATAAAGGGAGGAATTGTGCTGGATATTTTACAGACATGAGCAATGTTTTCTGCCACTGCCTTATCCCTGTGAATTCACAGCGTATTATGGGATTATATTGTCATGTTAAATTATCAGGCTCCTGCATTCTGGCATTACCTTTTATGAATATAACGGAAGCACCATGGTTGGTACATCATGCCAAGCATTAGATACCATTGCACTTTTGATTACCCTAAGTGAATTGCCAGTTTCAATTCTGTGGAGGATAAATGAGTGCAAAAGAATTGTTGGTTTCTCACAGCTTCAGGATGACTGATATAAACACTGTTCAGTTACGACTTCTTCAAGACCATGCATCTGGAACAAATACTTTGATAATTGTCCCAAAATCAGACATGGTAACTCAAAAAAGAGCCATGATTTGCTATGTAATTAGGCTATTTCATCAATTTCCCTCTAGATAAATATGAAAAACTTATTTTTATGCATAATATGATAGTAGCTCCCCCATACTGAATATACTTGTACCTGTTTGTACTTCTTCTTTTGCTTATATGCTCTCCATGTTGCTTGGATCTTAGCAGCACTGATTTTCATCTTTTTGAAGCGACGTCTAGCGTTCCAACGACGCACATTGCGTTGAATGATAATCACCCATCTATACAATAAAATTAGTCAGTAATATTGATTCTTTGTTAGATTCTTAATAAGTAGTCGAAGCTACTGAGTATGAAAAAATAAAACTACTAGTAATCTGTGTAAAATATTGAGAATGCATCTCGCGAGCACCCCACTGATTACCATGTGCAAGTTTCAGTAGTACAGGATTGCTTGACATAACTTAGCCATTCCCAGCATCTGGCTAGCAATATCTAGCTCCACCATCCGTATACATGCATCTAAAGCAGTTGTCAGAAAACTTTGTGTGCTCGTGGGACGCATATACACATTTCCGGTAGCGTGCGTGCCGCATTAATTTCTGCCTGCGAACAATTGCCACATTCAACTAAAAATTATGGTGCACCCGCACCTTCTATTGCTGTGTTACAAGGGGACTTTTATACTGCCCTTCTAATATATATATATTACAAAACAATACATTGTTTTCATTTTCTTGATGCTTTGTCTGTGCCATGGCCAAAGCGTTGAATTCAAATGACAATCTTGTTTCCCCGCAGCACGTCGTCCAAATGACAATTTGACAAGCGAGTACGAAATTTATTGTGAGTGTAATACATCTCATATAAAGCTGCTCACAGCAATATGTGCAATATGAGACGTGCACATTACTTACGTTTTGCACTGTCGAAACCTGGGGTCAAATATCTTATTTGCAGTGACACGTTCTGCAATGACATTTAACATTGAATTCCTTAATAACTGCGATGCTTATTTGGCATATCAATTAAACCGGTTTTGAAATGCGCAATAAAGAAAATCATTTCCGTCCAAGCACATCGAAATGTTCGACTCTCAACGCGAACATCCCTCCGTTCGCGGAGGGAAAGAAATTCTCAACATCAAGTGGGCGAATACAACTCAGAACTGACGCTGCAGAAAAGCTTCGTACAGCTGCATTTGTTATGTGGAGACAATGATAAATTTATAATCAATTTTTGTATCTGAAGTCAGGACGTTCGAGGGTAGCAAAAAATCAGTTTGTGGGCTGTATTTGGCTTGCGGGCGCAGTTTGCTGAGTCTTCTAAAAATAGCTGCCATTTACTTTTCAGTAATTGCTTGCCTAGGACCCTGTGTGGAATAGAAAAACAAACACCCTATATTTTCTTATTTGTACTGGTAACAAGACCAATTACCGACATGAATTAAGATCAATTTCTGTGTGGAGGACCACCTACTACTACCTATCTTTGAGTATTATTATCAAATAAAAAAGCCAACATATCTCACCGAGTGATTGCTGTTTCTCTTGCAATTTCAAGCAGCATGTCATGTTCATCCTTCAAAAATATTTTGTTCTTTCCAACCTGCCAGTCTTTGTCACCAAGAGCCTCATCCATGATCTTACGACAAATTTCTAAAATTGGAAAATTTTTGTTCAGCAATGGATACGGTATAAGAATAATAATTCCTAGCTTAAAGGAGAGGAAAAGATGATAAGATACTTTAATCATACACCACGGTCTCAAGTTCGATTACTAGTACATGCTACGGGTGTATATCTATATTATTGGTTTGGGAAATTCTTGGATTTTTACATATTTATCCCAATGGAGAGGAAAGTCATAACCACGGCCTCTCATTGTTGTTGTTTAGTTTTAAGCTGTGGCGACAAAAGTAAAATTGATTGATTGATTGACTTCCTAATCCTACTTTGATTGTCTGCACACAATCTGCATAAAGAAAAGTCCATAAATACTAGCCCAACTTACCAATCATTTCTTCACGTTCATGAACAATGTGAACTCCATGCAAAATCATTCGATACCTGAAATAGAAGAAAAGTGTAACTAAAAAATAAATTTACTTCAATAGAGCTTGACATATCTTTGATTATATGATTTGGTCAAAAAGTTTTTCATCTCCACTGAACCAAAGCCACAGGATGACTTGAAATAACTACCAATAAAGATGGCTGTTCCCATACATGCCCTAACCTATTTCCCACACCTATTACCCTATAGCAGCGATTCCCACTTTTAGCCACTCCAGCTAGTGCTAATATATCACAAGGTAACAAAAGAGATCAAAACTCTAATCCAGTGGTTCTCAAATGGCGGTGCGCGTCTGACAAGGGGGCGTAGACAATTTTTTGAGGGTGCGTGAAGCTAATCATAAATAAAAAATTTTGTTAGATCTGATCGTATCTGTATTATTCTGGATATTTACATATCTTCATTGTTTATTTTTCTTTATTATGTACGTACACCTATTTTGAATAAAATATACTTTTGCTTCACTTGTCAACTAGTTATCTTTGAGGCGGGGTGCAATAAAATTTCCAAAAAGTGGGTGTGGCTTAAAAAGTTTCAGGACGACTTCTCTAACCTGTCGACAAATTCTCTGAAGGTGTATCTGATTGGATAACCAGCTCTTCTTATCCGAATTGTTTCCATCATGCCAGAATATCTCAGCTGACGAGCGATCAACTGGCGATCAAAATCCTAGAAAAAAAAAGCAAGTTCGACATGAGTTTGCTTATTGGTATATATTATTGTATATATAATGTAATACAGCGAGATGGAGCTATTGGCTCGTACTGTATTTGTCCTTGTATATCCAAGGCGGTAATCATCAATATTCTATTTCTGCACTTGTTAAGTGTGACTTGCTGTTTAGGCTTCTACTGCTATGGTGTTATAATTTTAAATTGCTTGACTCTGACGATAATTTAGTGTTGTCATGAAAACTTGTTTATAAAGAACTAAAGGCATAATACACGACACCTATGTATTAAACTGGCTTATTATCGTCCTTGCTTACTCAAGTGTGACTTGGTAATCAGTAGTTTACTGTTCCACCATACATAAAAGTTGAGTTTTCAAGAGTCTTGAGGGTCTAAAAAGCGTTTCAAGCTGCTAAAAATTGTTATGCATGATATGGATACATTTCAAAAAGGGGTCCAAAAAACAACCCCTCTCTTTTGGCTACGCTTCTGCCCTGGGTGTAGTGATGGACATGGGAGGGAGGCACAGGGAACTAATACTGGTTATCGAGCAGCGACCACTGTGATTGAGCCTAACAGTAATAGATAATAGCTTAAAAAATCGAACACAGATTATAGAAATATGTTTATGTCAAAGTAAATTGAGGCACCTGAATATCCAGAAAATCTTTTTATGACATTACAATGCCCTATCTTGTGCGAAGCAAACAACGCATTTCATGAGATCAATTACCAAAATTTTTGTGGTTGCAACTGCTTTAAAAACTCTATATTACGGTAAAAAAAGGTGCGGCCTGCGATTTCACTCAATTGATTTGGAGATGGCCCTCCTGTATTGAGTGTACCCCTAGTGTAGAACTTACATTGGCCTTCTTGAACTCATTCGGTTTCATGCATCTTACAAAGTATGGTAGGCATGACGACAATGCACGCATGAGTGCATCTAACGATCGTTTGAACTGCTCACACAATGTTTGGTTTCTTCTACGAGTGGAGCCAGAGAGTTTCAATTCTGTAAAAAATAATTACAGCAATGTATTTATAATTATCTTGGGTAAAGAAAAGCGAATGAATGACTTATTTAACGTCAGATCACAACTACTTTGTACAAGTTTAAAGTAATTTGTGCTTGTGATATTTATTTTTACTGTTTGGAAAAATAAACTTGCCTTGCCTTTGTTTATCTCGCAATTGCAAAACAATGACAACCACGGAGATCCTGATGTATGCATATCAAAAACTACTAACAGGATAAGATTTACCTATTTATTCTGGGGGAGAGGAGAGTCGATATAACTCAATCCTATAAAAAAACCACATCTTCTCGTTCGTTTCAAGTCCATGTCGGGTATGGGATTGATAGTTGTTTTCAGATGTATGGACTTGATGGTGGAGGAAGCCGTAAAGGACCAGCAGTCACATTTAATTAACCCTGCATGGGATTCAAACGTGCAAACTACCCGACATGGACTGGTAACCATATGAAAAGTCATAGTTCGCCATATGATTATGCCGTCTTATCGGTTTTCCTAACCACCGGAGTAAATATGTGAATCCTATCCTGTCATAAGCACGTTTAGCTATGAACTTAATAACAATCATAATAAGATCATTTCACCTTTCTGGAACATCAGCTTCAAGAACTTATTCTTTGAAGATTGGATCAGAGATATCAAATCACTGTGGAAAGTGTCTCTGTTACGTTCAAGAAATCCTGAAAGTGAAATAAAAATTAATACTTTTATGACATATTTTACATTTTTCACATTAAAGATTACTTTCAAAAGGCAGCCAATGTAAAGCAGAAGATAATTCTTTTAAAAGCAGTGGTTCTCAAATGGTTGGGCGCACCCCACAAAGGACGTAGACAATTTTTTGAGAGAGCGTTAAGCTAATTTAAAATAAAAAGATTAGTTAGATTTAATCTTGCCCGCTTTAATTTGGATATTTGCATTTGAATATTTGCATATTGTTTAGGGTTAGCAGAGACCTGCTGTGCTTGTTGTTATTTTTGTTATCTGTTATATTACTTTTGCCCTACTATCTGTTATTTGTAGCTTATTGTTAGCTAGTTAGCTAGTTATTTTCAAGGTATGCCGCGAAACTTGACAACTTCCAAAAAGGAGACGTGGCCTAAAAAGGTTGAGAACCACTGGTCTAGGGTGAGTCAAAAATTACTTTGAATAGGCTTGAACCTTGAAAAATACATACCACTCGTGCTATATCTGACAGGCCCAGCAAAATGTCTGATTCCAAAAGTGTCATCATTTTGCGACTTCGGCACATCGAAGTATTCACTTTTACCATGATTGCTGGTAAGCTTGTTCAGCATAGTTCTATCCGTGCCCTTTTGTGAGAAAGTAGTTTAGAAATTAGAACAGAAGAGGACTTACCTAAGTTAAGTTACTGGTCACAACGCACTTAGGATAAGATCGGTTAGAATTTACATATTTATAGAGGAATGTCGATCAGACGGATAAATATTATGGCTAACCACGGCCTCTCATAAGGTTACCAGTCCATGTCAAGTATGAGATTCGCAAGTCAGTTATTTATTTTCAGATGCATAGATTTTATGGTGGAGGAAGCCGTAACCGACCGGCGGTTGGTTACATGAACCACTCTATGGCGGCAATGAGTCCAGCAATCCTTTCACACATGACTATCCTGCGAACCCAAGCAGGATAATCAGAAGTGCAGTGGCAAGCCAATTCCTAACGCATAGCACAATGAGCCACGCTGCCGAGTCATGGAAAACCATGACTTTCATGCAGTTTTCAGTTCATTAATGTAGTGGACAGTCGATAGTTCTAAATGCATGGACTTGTGATTTGGGAAGCCATTCTCGACTTTGGATTGATGCAGAGCCCAGCAATAGCAAGAGGTCTGACTATTTTCTCACACATAATTAACTGATCAGATCTGCAAACGCAAACAGTCAGCAGTTCAAATTCAAGTGCATATTCAAAACTTAGCACAGTGCATTGACCAACATTCAAAGTCAGTTTACACACATTGACAGAGAATTTTGTTTGGATTATGCTCTCACCACATACATACCAAGTCAAGTTTATTTTTTTTAACCAGTAAAGAAAAAATTAATTAAACATAAATTACGAGGAAATGAAAAATACACAGATTTACTGGGAAAGGGAAGTCACAGGGAACCAAGATTGGTTATTGAGCAGCGACACCCAAGGTTTAAATATGAAATTGGAAATATTGAATATACTAAATTGAAATTAAGCATGGGATTCAATCTAACCTAGAATAGCTATTTCTTATCATCACAGTCTGACTTACTGACAATATAAATAAAACTTACCCTTGGAAACATAGCTTCCTCATTGATCAAAGCCAGCACATTCATTGGTCGAACAGCGATCATGTCAAGAATTTCCTGAACAGTAAAGAAGAAGGTTATGTTTAAAAAGGAAGCAATCAAGTTTATTTCAACTCCATAATCAGCATAACAGGAAATAAGATAGTTGATTACAACAAATAAATAAAAAATGATTATGAAATCAGGAAAGCAAACAAAACCTTAAATAAGAATCAGAACGTACAAAATGAAAGATGGATGGTTTTGCTAAAAAAAGAGATACGTGTCCACTCCACCTAAGAACGTGATGTTTAGTAAGCAAGTAATTAAGTTTATTTTCATTTGACAGGAAGGAGGCATCACAAATGAATAAACACAGTCATATCAATTTTCATATTTATTTTTGGGAAGAAGAAAGCAATGGATTGGCTTAATCAATGTTGGGTATGGGATTAGTTAGCAAGTTATTTGTCTCAGATGCATGGACCTAATGGTGGAGGAAGGTGTAACCAACCAGAAGAACCCAGACAGAAGCAATTCCAGCAGAAAATAAATGAGACAGATAGTCTGGTTCAGATCAAAGGTTGAAATTATAGCATTCCAATGGAACATTATACATGAAATAGGAAAATCATATAAATAAGACACTAGTATAATACACAAGCCAGAGGAGGTTTGGCTAAACGATGTTTAGTGTGTAGGATGAGAAAACTGGCTCGGGTTCCAAATAGCGACTGTCAGAACAGCGACTGTGCTAATGGCGACCGCATTAAAACAGCAACTGTTATGATAGCGTTAGGGTCAGTCCAAATAAAATGCTGTTTTAAAGTCCCCTTTTAGTTTCAATCTTTAATTACGCAGTGTTTGCCTGTTTGTAGATGCATACGTGTGTAGAAGGGTCCCTAACCCTAATACGATTTAAGTCGCCAGCAAAACAGTCGCTGTTTTAATGCAGTTGCCATTATGACAGTCGCTCACTTGTTTACGTCGCCATTATGACAGTCGCTGTTTTAACAGTCGCTATCCGGCCTGGATACCGAGAAAACTGCTCAATAATAGATACAAAATAATTACCTGGTTATCAGTGAAGTCAATGTGTCTCCATTCAATATCTTCTTTATCGTATTCTTCTTGTTCAAGCTTAAAAATGTGTCGAACAAAGAATTGTTGGAGATTCTCATTCGCAAAGTTGATGCAGAGTTGCTCAAAACTAAAAAAAATCAATGTTAATAACTAAACTTATAATGAAATCAGGAAAGCAAAAAAAACCTTAGACAAGGTTATAAGTCATAAGTCATGTTAATATTAAGTCATATATGGGTCATTTATTGTTACTATTATGACAATTATTTGGATCAAAATGGCCTAATAGTTAAAGTCATGTTCATATTCAAGTTTATTTTTTCCATTCAGTAAAAAATAACATACAAAATTTAGAAAATAAATAATATTTAACACACATTTTTCTAGGGAAGGAGACTGCAGGAAAACCACTACTGGTAATTCAGCAGCAACACCCACGGTTCAATATCTAATTGAATTTGTTATGTCGGAAATTAAGTTGTTAGAACACTGTTATTATAGGTTGGTATGACTTTGGAAGCTGAATCACCAATAGACATCCACTAGGCACAGAGCTTATATGAGACAACCATCAAACCATAAATGCTATAAAAGTGTTGTTAGACTTGACTATTTCCAAATGCAGGTTTCGCATATCGGGCTCAAATTCAATGCACGCCATCTCACCTAGGGGTAAATAAATAGGGTAGACAATGTCAGAATGGAAAGATTTCGGTCTTTCAGTAGATAGTAGCTCCTCAAGATCGTGAAATATCAGTGGATGCTTTTACCAGGCGTTTTTTAAAGAAAAAAGCACATATAAAAAAAAATTAACGATCAAACAAAACACACAGCACACACATCTTACCTGTTATTTTCAAAGTTTTCAAATCCGAAAATATCCAGCAATCCAATAGAGAGAATTTCGCTCTTGTCCTGATCTTTTTCTCCGCCATAGATTGCACTGTTGATTTTGTCCACAATCCAGACAAACATCCGACCGTACACTCCCTAGAAAAAGTTTGTTGAGATGATTGGTTAATTTATTTACAAGCAAAAATTGGAATTACTTGTTTTTGAAGGAGAGCATGTTTTTTGGTGGTTTTGGCGACTTTAGCTTGTTTTTATGTGGTTATAGACAGTTTTTGCATGCTTTAGCGCATATTTTGTCCTTTTTTACCCTTTTTCTGCACATATTACCATGTTTTTGGTGTTTTTTAACGGTTTTGTCGTTTCAGCATGTTTTTGGTGTTCATTTGCATGTCTAGCATGTTTTTTCATGGTTTTTGACAAAAGAGAAAAAAATTAACATGACTGGTTAGTCAAACTACCGTAGTTCATCTTTAGCTATATTTATCTGTTATTTCTTTGAGATGCAGAAATTTAAATGGTCGAAAGTATATCAAAGATAGAATAAATTGTAATATTTATTCTGAGAAAAAGCGAGAGAGAAGCTCTTTTAGACAGTTTTATTTAAAAAAAAAATCAAAATCAAGTTGTCTTTGACACTTGACACTTGGCATTAAGATAGTTAACCAGTTGATTATTCCACATGTGCCATTCCTCCTATAACGATAAACTAAAAAAATTAACTTTAAGCGATCCTTTTGAATGTACCTAATTGACCTTACAGGGCTAACAAAAGCCTAGAGTACGAGCTTGTTTGTTTCTGTGTTAGGTTCACAACCTAAATTCACAAAAACAAACTACAAAAAAATATAGTAATTTACTTTGACCTATTAACCTAATTAACCAGTTAAATATTCCACATGGACGCTTCCTCTTATACCCCCTAATTAACAAGAACCACATCAAACATACCGGCAACCTTCTCAAACATAATTATTGTAACTTACTTTGATGTAGGCATCCTTGACATCTAGTGCTTGGGCGATGTTCATTGGTGAAGTGACAGTTTCTCCCCGCATGATGAGAGTCCGCTGAGTCAATGCTTTCATGAGAGCTTGGTCATTCACCTGTGAGAAATATTGGAATTATTGCACTTTCTGGATTAATAGATGATGAAACAATTTTACTTTGCCAAAGCAAAAGGTGAGGTCGCGATTTTGGATTTCAAGATTTTGGAGTAGTTGAGTGAAAGTTTGGAACTTCCTAAATTCAGTAACCAGAGTTGAAACATTAAACTGGAATTAGCAAAGGACGTAGCTGGAGTTAAGATTTTGTTCAAACCAAGAATCAGGTATTTAAAGAAATTAGAGTCAGACCTTCATTATCTCAAACTAAGCAAAATCAGGGTCACACATTGAATGGTTTGAATGGTTTGAACTCACGAAAATTGCACCTGCATACTATTGCACTTATGGAAATTTTTTTATTTTGCAGATATTTGAACCCATACTAACCCTAACCCATGGGTTTTAGCACCCGCATATAGATGGAATCTGCGGATATACACATGGGTTCAAATGTACGTGGGTTCAAATGTACGGTCACCACATTGAATAGATATCACTGAATGGCGGAAAAGTCAAGTGGTTGCATGAACAATTCTGTGTGGATGAGAAGTCCAGCAATCACCTCACATATATTCACTCCCACATAATTTGAATTAGCATTTTTACAAGGCCAATACGAGTGAAATATGGAGCACAAAACCCCATCTACCTAGCTTGAGACAGCACTTACTCCTAGTAAATGACTTGCTGCTTTTATTCCTGTGTTGTAGACAAGTTCACAGGCATCCAGATTATCAATCATTGTTTCTTCAAATTTGAAATTTCCTGGAATGCAAAAATCAATTATAGAATAGATTAGTGGCACATTTAGACATTTCGTGTTTCCCCGAAAATAAGATCTACCCTGACTTTTTAAAATGATTCTGACAGAAGACCTCCTCCTAAAATGATATTGATTTTCAAATTTTGTATATTTGAAAAAACCTGGTAATTCTCTAAGACCCTCTTTTATTTCGGGGAATCATGGTAGTTGGCATCAGGCTGGCAGAGCAGGAGGTAAAGTTTGGCATTTTTTCACTGGACTGAAATAACAATCAGAACAAAAACTAATGACAGCACAAAACGTTGTTGACAAGCTGACTGTAGTCAATTGGTAAAATAAGATGGTGTGGGGTATGTAATTTTACTAAAATAGAATAGTTCAGCACATTCAAATTCAGCACAAAAAGTTACTTTGCAAAGTTCTTTGTATATTTAAATAATAATGAAAAACAAATTAACTGGAGGCATATTTCCAAACTCCCCAAAGTCATAAGTTTTTTTACTAAATTTGCTCTGTCCTATTACTATTGCCTTGCCCTATTAGTGTCTTTTAAAGTGGAGAATGGCCACTTTATTCAAATTTTCTATGTATCATATAGACGCCATTATCTCACCTAAAAATGTTTAGTTTCATTTTTATTACCGGTAATACAATTCAAATGCTTTTAACTCAATTTTAACACTTTTTTATGAAATATGGTAGCACCCCTCATTTTGTTATAATTGTTTGCTTCCCTCGTACTTGTTTGTCCAAACTAGGTGATTGCCTAGAGCTAAGAGCTCTGGCTTCAATACATGGCTCAACTCACCAATATGCAAGATAGCAGCAAGCAGCTTGTAAATTTCATTGATCTCAACATCAGAAATGGAGAGAACCTGATTTAAATAATGTTGATTGTTAGAACTCAAATGTCTCATAGAAAACAGAGACAGCAGTTGGGGTAGGATTTTAATATTTATTTAATGCCAAGACGTTTGGGCTCATTCATATGCCTCTCGGTCAATAAGGATAAAGGTAAGGTTTACATATTTATCCCGGGGGAGAAGAAAACTGATAAGACGGCTTAACCATATGGCGAACCACGGCCTCTCGTCCGGTTACCATTCCATGTCGAGTATGAGATTAGCTAGTTACTTGTTTTCGGAAGCATGGACTTGATGGTGGAGAAAGATGAACCAGACCAGTGTTACGTGAACCGCCCTACGATGGCGAGGAGTCCAGCAATCCTCTCGCACATAACCATCCCGCATGGGATTCGAACCTGCAAACCCACATAGGGTAATTAGAGGTGCGGTGGCGAGCGTATTCCTAACGCTTAGCACGATGAGCCACACTGCCGCGCCGATGAGCCACACTGCCACGTCGATTACCAGTCCAGACTGGGTATGGAATTAGTTAGCCAGTTATTTGTTTTCAGATGTATGGACTTTATTGTGACTAATATATAATACATAATGCAATATATGGCAGTAGAAATGCATAAATGGAAGTTTGATTATTCAAAATGCAAATCTTTTATGCTGCATTAATGTTCATGAAAAGGGCAATTCTCTCACAGACAATTAACGGCCGCAGGATTTGAACCTGCGAAAAAACACAGGTTGATTAGAGCTGCAGTGGCAAACATATTCCTAATACTTAGCATTATGAGTCACACGACCCAGCCATATTTGTATGATCATGATATCTTATCATCTCTTCCCTCCCTTTATTAAAATACCCATCCGAAGAGAAACCAAGTTCGATAGACAGCTCAATCATATGACAAACCATAGTTACAACAGTTTATGACACAGTAAATTGACTTCCACATAATGTATTATATGACAATAGAAATGTTCTATGATAAGATGAATTATTTCAAATGCAAATCTTTTACGCTTCATTAAGGTTCAGATTACAATAAAGGTATATAATATTGAAAAAAACTAAGTGGATTATTTATCCAGAGATCCAATGAGTCAGCTTAATCATATGACACACCATGGTTACATAGTTACCATAGTTACCAATAGTTTATGAATTATTATATATGGGAACCTATCTGTACCTTCATTCCACTGACAATATTTGCAAATTCCAATTTATCGTCTCTTCCTTTACATTGTAGACATGAACCCTGAAAAGAATAGATGACAAAGTTAAATCAGAACTATGGCGAACCAATGAAGGTCAGTTTTATACAACTTCGACCCATTCAGAATTAAAAAAAAAATTGAAGTATTTATTGGTTTTAGTAGGTTTTTGCAAGTTTTAGTGACATTTGGTTAGGTTTCGACGATTATTTATACCACCGCCAACAAACATAACAAAGTAGGTTTTACAAGTTTTAGTGACTTTTGGATGAGTTTTGATGATTAACCAGCCAACTCACAGGCTGACAACCCTGTAAAAATCGGGGCAAATGAACCGGTATATATTAAGAGTGCATAGCTCAAAATGCATTATTCCAAATTATTTATGTTGGCATATTAACCCTTTCCATGCGATTTTTATTTTTTATTAAATAATCGTATTTGCTACGCCGATTTTATGCATTTGTACCCCCACAACTAATCGATCGACTAACGATAAAACTAATGATCCTCTGCTGCCCACTGACAACTCGTTGGAAAGCTTATTTGAAGAGCTTGCAATTGGCAATTAAAATAAAAGTTTTTTTAAAACTGGTGGTCTGAGTCACAAAACCGGATAGAAAAAAGGCATTTTTTTTCCTAGGAGTTGAAACTTCAAACCGTAATAAAAAATAGAAATATTCGCTAAATCCTTTACTGTTACCACTTCGTGGTTGGCAAACAATAGCATAATATTGCTGTAGCAATTTCGTGATCTAACTCAAAATACTTTGGTAGATGGAAGAGACAATATGTCTTCTATTACCACCCAGAAAACACCGAAATTTGCATAAATTTCAAAAACACTTCCTCGTTCTGCCGCAAATAAAATTCCCGTCGTAAACGAAAGCGAGATTTACCATCGCTTGTGTTAATCTCGAAGAAGACTTCTTATCAATAAACTAAAACCCGGAAAAACTAGACCAACAGTTTGCGACCGATTGCTAAATAAAACAGTGGAGTACATCAACGTACCCGCCGCAATCTAGCGACTTTTGTCGTTGGTACGTATACGTGTCCACCGCACGAAAAGGGTTAGGTTCAGAATCTCGATTTCACATCATATGCTCATTCTTTATAGAAATATATTAAATACGGTATGCAATACCCAAATCTAAAACATTTTGATTTTCCTAAGGATAGTAGCATTTAAGGTATCAGTGGTGCATGTACTGAAATGTGAAGACGTGAAATTCTCCCTCAAAAATGCACCTGCATGGATCCGTCCCCCAGGCTGTAATAAATTGGGTAGCTGTGCTAGAAAGATTCGGTACTTCCAAAAAAAGTAGTTTTTCACATATTTACATAACAATGGAGCCTCATGCGGCGTAAAAAGCGTGACAAAAGTGTTGTACAAAATAAATGTATCATAAACAAACAACATTCAACATACACACACCAAATACAAAACAAAAATGTGATTGAAGCATCGGCAAGAAAGAATAAGTACATGCTATGCCAATTCAATTTCAAACTCTTTTTTTCCTTTCAAAACTGATATGAACCCTTTTTTAACAAATCATTATTTTTTATTGTAACAAAATAAAATGGAAAATACAAGTTTTGACTGGTCAATTATTACAAGTTTTTGTAAAATTTAACTCGTAATAGTCAATTATTTAAACCTGTATTATAAGGAATGCAATTCTGCTCTTCGGTTGCTATAAACTCTTGAATTTATCATATTCAAGCATTGCAAGGATGACACATGTCACATACCGATCCAACAGTACATGAAATTCAAAATAAAGGAGCAGGCTCTTGTAACATAATCAGGCATTTTAGTTATAAATCAATTAATAAGGCCAGAAAGATCAGATGGCAATGGTTTAAAAATACATGCTATTATTGTTGACACCAATAAATTCCCATCAGGTGCGAGAGAGCAATGGACAAATATATTGACAAAAAAACAGTAGTCTGTCAGTAGTTTATTACACATGTACAAAGTACACATTGTACATACAGAATAAGAGAGACTAAAAAAGGCATTTTAGTGTTTTAGGGAGACGCGATAAACTAGTAATAGTTATCAGGCAGCTTCACTTATGAGGAAGTCTAACATTAAACTATACTGAGGAAAATAAGTCAAGCATTGAAATACAGGTAGGTATGTTGATGTTAGGACAGGATTTACATATTTATTCTGGGGTAGAAGAAAGTCGATAATACGGCTTATTCATATGGCGAACCTTGGCTTTTCACTCGGTAACCACTCCATGTCAGGTATGGAATTAGCTAGCCAGTTATTAGTTTTTGTAAGCATGTACTTGATGGAGAAGGCTGTAACCAACCAGCATTTACGTGAACCACCCAATGGCAACAAGGAGTCCTGAAATCCTCAAACATAATTATCCCCACATGGGATTCGAACCTGTGAACCAATGCAGGGTAAATATAGGTGCTGTAGCAAATGTATTCCTAACGCTTAGCACGATGCGCCACACAACCGAGCCAATGGCCAAATATATTACAGAATTCTCTATGGTCCTGCTGATAGTGCTCATATGATACACAAACACTACATTTATAAAGTGTTTCTCATTAGTGAACAAGACAACATTGAAATTAAAAGATGTGCTAACACTTGCCTCTGTATCCTATTAGCAGCACAAAACATAAAAAAAATTGTAAAATATGTCATGTACCGGTATGCAGGGCCACACACTAAAATACCTAATTAATGGCAAGAAGTATATCTTAAATGAAGTTATGCTATATAGTCTTCATATTTAGTAGAAAATATTCTGTTATAATACATCATATGTGTTGCGATGTTTTTCATTTTTTTTATTGCCCCGATGAAGTGTGCAGAAACAAAGATTCAAAAAATACAATGAAATTAATATTGCCCAATGATTTAGTGGTTAGGTAAAGCGTAGCGTTAGCATTGCAGGTTCAAGATCTCGGTTATGAACATCTATTCCAAAGCACTTCACCATTGGTGTAATAAATTGGATTGTAAACGTCGTTTAAAACTCTCTGGCTTTTCATGTAAAACTATATCGAGCCTTGTTTAGACCAGTGGGTCGCGACGCATTTCCAAATGTTACATACAGTTTTCAATGAAGGAAATTATGGCATTATTATTACGTAACAATAACACTTATGAAATATTTTGGAAATAATAACAATTAGAATTTTTGTGAGTCGCACAGAAAAAATGACAATAAAAGTGGGCACCAAACTGAAAAAAGTTGGAAAGCACTGGTTTAGACTAAAGAATTTAAACAAAAAAAATATATCACCAAAAATATATAAAATGTTATATTATCATGCATATATCTTTTTAAATGCTTGAGCATTTAACACCAAAAGAAACAAAAAAAATTTAGAAAATATTTAAAGTGTTATTTTTGCACCACCACACCATATTTGCTTTTTCTTAACTTACCTTTCCTTGTTTAAAACAAGCATTAGATTCTTTTTGGTGATAAAAATCCTTTTTGTAAAAAGTTGCAAAAAATAAAACAGAAATTCTGAGAATGCCAAGTTGGTGAAAATAGGGCTTTGCACTTTTATCATTATTTATAAACAAACAGTTTCAAAATACTAAATTTTCTATATATGTAAAGCCACTATTACGATTGCTACACTATAACAATGTTCAGTTAAAAAAATGACCTTTTAAACTAAAGGCATGCTTAAAACATGAGCTAAACCTCTAAAATATATTAATATCAGATTCATGATAGAACTCAGATAGCATGTTTGAAAAAATTGATGTACTATTACTATTATTGGGGGAATATCTGATGTATTAGGTACTATTTATTACCTCTTATTATATTTTCTTTACTTCTTTATCAACACTATTGTTCAATAATGTCATTATGGTTAGAACTTTTTAAATTATTGCCTGGTAAAAACTCATCTCATGTTATAGGGAATGTCAAAATCATAGTCAAGTTTATTTTTCCCAGTCAGTAAAAAATAGCATACTAACAAAAAAGAAATAAAAATGCAAAACTGAATGAGTTCTTCTTTTTTTTATTATCTGCTATGTTGTCTCTTGAACTCAGTAGCATAAGGAGAAGTTTAAGAGTCAAAGGAAACCTTTTTTTTATTGCATTAAATGTATGGTCAAACTTATATCTATTTTATATATCTCATGATTCCTTCTTAAGTTCCAAAAAATTTACAAATGTCTTGCTCGTTATCTTACCTGGGTTAAGTATAAATAATCTGATGGTTTTCCGAGTCCAAGTTTCTGTTTCTGCTCAGAACTCATTCCTGCCAACATACAGTAAAATATGTGGTAGTTTCTCTCTTCATTTGCTTGGTAGACAAGCCTGTTAAAAAGTAACAAATACGTGTTTTTGTTTCATATTTTTCACTATTATTCCACCCTACAATATGAGTAAGTGCTTTATGTTTACATGAACTCTTAGTTCTTAGATTTTAGATTTTCTTAGCGTGTGTTTAGCTTAGATTTGTCATTTTTTGTACAATGTTGGAAATCAAATTTAATTATCAATCTATCATCAAAGTTCAGTGAAGTATATATATGGTGAGATATGAGATCAAAGATCAACATTAGCTTTTAGTAAGTGATGAAGTATTGTTTTATGGTTACTATGGACTCATACCACATCTCATACCTTCTCATACAATAACTTTTAAATATAAGATGATTCTGTTCTGTGTAATTTATGCAAAATGTTCTCTATCCACTATCAACAATATTAACACTACTCTAACCGCAACACTATTAGCTCTCCTACTTACCTTGACTTTTCCAATAAATACTGTTCAATCTTTGCCCCAATGATGACTCCCTTCTTGGAAAAGTGAATGTCGATAAATTTTCCAAATCGACTAGAATTGTCGTTACGAATAGTCTTTGCATTGCCGAAAGCTAAAAAATATTACAAATAATTGGTATATTCATGATTTATGTTTTTTTGGTGTTCTTTATTGTAAACAAGGTCATAGACAAGCAAATGCTAACTTATTAAGTTCATGGTCTGTACACTTGAAACATATTTTTTGATATTTTAGTAATAAAACAGAAAGATGTGTTATTTTATTTACCAAGAAAAAGTGAGAAATGGCCTTATGCTTATTACCTAGTTTATACATGGAAATTACTGAGTTTTGGACAAAAATGTTCAGCACTCTTGCCCAGTATTTATACCATACCGGAAAAATTCCCAAAATAATATTACTTATCACACTAAAATATTTTGAGTGGGCAAAAAGTATTCGGAGAGAGTGAATTTTCCTTGTATAAGTCCTTGTTAATTTCAATAAGATAATAAAGCAGTAATATGTACATTCTATAAAGCCACCCTATAGTGTTAAAATGGGGAAACTACAGCCCGCTAGCCAAATCCAGCACGTTGGATAATTCAATCTGACCCGCCTAAGGCTGCCACAACCAAATTTTAATGTTCTAGCTGAAAAATGGCTTAAGGAAATTGTTGAGATTGCGGTTAAATTTAGTTTTGGCTCATTGTTTTTTATACTTTTGTTTTTGGAACACTGTAAATAAAATTCTGTTCATAAAGATTTTACTTTTATGTACCCCAGGCTTACATGGCCTACAGCATATAGGTGGGCAAAATTTCTGACCCTGGTTCACAAACCTTTGCCACCCCTGCTGTAGCAAACAGACCCTAAATTTGTGAGAGTCAGGAAGGCATGTAGATTGACAAACAGGATTAGTTATGATATTTATCAGATCCTCGGGATTAAAATTGATTTGAAATCATTCTTCTTGTTTGAATATCCATTTAGCAGAGTGAAAGAATTCTAACGAGTGTCTATAAGAGCTCTTCAAATCTGAAGTGGTGGATTTACAGAATGATGATAAGCTATGACATGACTTGTCAATGAGGAGGGTATAGCAAATAATATAACGGAGTAATAATAAAATATACGGACACAGAGGTGACCTACTTCTTCACTGCACAGCACTGGAACAAATTTGATAATAATTAACATGAGCGAGCAATGCTCAAATACATTTCCCCGAAAATAAGACCTAGCCTGAATTTAAAAAATGATTTTAATATAAGCCCTCTCCTTTAAATAAAATCCGAGTTTTTTTTTTTAAATGAAAACATATTTTTTATAAGTAAATGGATATCCGTTTTCATAACTTGTATATTTGAAAATATTTGTAATTCCCTACTTTGTAATTTCGTTTTTGATAAATGAAAATTGAAGACATCCTCCCAAAATAAGCCTGCGTGTTATTTTTCGAAGAAAATTTGAGAGACCCTGTTTTGTTTTTGAGAAACACGGTAAATGGACATAAAGGTTGCATTTTGATAGCTGTACGACCTTACAGCACTGAGTCAGTTGGTGGCAAATAGCAAAATTTTGGGATAACAGGTCCCTAAGGTATCAGAGGAAATTTTAAAGTAATCTAACAACTTCTTTCATCATTAAGTACTAAAAATTTGAAATCAAAAAGCATTTTTTGAAAAGCAACCATATAGCCCAACAACAATAGAGCAATGGCCTTAGTCGTGGTATCTTGGCAGTGTGACGCATTGTTCTAAGCGTCAGGAATACTCTCGCCACTACACGACTGATTACACTGCGTGAGTTGGAAGACTTGATCTCACCTTCTAGGATCGGATTTGCTTCTAATATTTGCTGTTCAATCCATGAATGTTGCCCAGATATTGATGCCAGATATTGAAGAACTAGCTTCGTGGATTCCGTCTTGCCAGCTCCAGATTCACCACTGTAATAATAATGATAATTAATAAGAAGCTTGGTTCATTTTAAGTGTCCATCACTGATGGGCCATAGCAAGATTTTTAGCTGGGCCACAAACCTATGAAAATTTGTGAGATACGATAGGATTTACATATATATCCTGGGGTGAGGAAAACCTAAAAGACGGCTTATCCATATGGCGAACCACGGCCTCTTGTCCGGTTACCAGTTCAGGTCGGGTATGAGATTAGATAGTTACTGGTACTTGTTTTTCGGAAGCATGGACTTGATGGTGGAGGAAGCCGTAACCGACCAGCGGTTACGTGAACCACCCTACGGCGGCGAGGAGTCCAGCAATCCTCTCGCACATAAGCATTCCGCATGGGATTCGAACCTGCGAACCCACGCAGAGTGATTAGAGGTGCTGTGGCGAGCGTATTACTAACGCTTAAAGACTTTTGATAAATTCGTTAAATTTGATTGTATTGGAAATTAATAATAATGCTGTTTTTTAGCTACTGAATGTTAATTACATTTAAACATTAAAGTGGAAGCGCCTATCTTCGCAAAATTTTTTTTTTTATAATATTCCCGTAGCATATGAGTTACCGGTAATAGGCCACAGAAGTTTTTGTGCAACGAAAATTGGCTACGAAAGAAAAAAATGTTCTCAGATAATTTTACTTCTTCATGGAGTTTTATCATAAGCTGATAAAAATGGCTTAATTATATGGAAGAGCTTAGTCCCATTTGATACCGATTTGGTAAAGACGAAAAAAAGATTTAATCAGCACTGACTTCAAAATCTAACAACCCAATATTCCAGTTTTTGACTCCAAGATAAGAAATTTTGTTTATGGAAATTTTGGTTTTTCTCCATTTTCTAGTTTGCCTAAAAAGTTTTAATATGTAAAGTGATTTATATGAAGGGTGGCCCAAAAGTCGGTATACAGTTATTTTATTTATTTTTTTATTACCTTCCAAGCAGCTAGAAAACTAATGTAAAATTCACACTAGATTTATTATTTAAAAAAATAAGCAATTATTGTGGTACTTATCAAGTAACATAAAGTGAACTGCAAGTAGCTTCAAAGTATATAAAATAGTTTAATAACTGTATACCTAATTTTGGGTGCTCCCGAAGTATGCGAACCAAGATGGCGGACATCGGAACGTAACATGGGTAACAGGTTAGGGTTAGGGGATAATTTTTTTCCAATTTTCCTTATTTTAGTCCTATTATCAGTTCGAAGACTAGCCAAGAGCCTCCTGTAGTATTTATACCTAAAAATATGGCCTAACCCTAACCTAGTACACATATTGCATTCCGATGTCCGCCATCTTGGTTCGCATACTTCGGGAGACCCTAATTTTGGGCTTTGGGTATATATGACAAAAAACTGACAAAAATGCCAACTTTGTCTCCACCACCCTAGTTAATATAGGGCTGGTGAGCCGGTACTCTTGGAGTATGCATACCAAGATGGCAGATACCGAAAAGTAGTATGTGCACCAGGTTAGGGTTAGACCATAATTATATTTCAATTTTCCTTATTTTAGTTCTATTACGAGTTCAGGGACTAGCCAAGTGACTCCCGTAGTATTTGTACCTAAAATTATGGCCTAACCCTAACCTGGTACACATACTACATTCTGGTACCCGCCATCTTGATACGCATACTCCAAGAACGCCGGTAAGTCAACTAAATACATTAGAAACAGAGGAAGCTTTTCCATGGCCTCATTCATAGCAAATATTTTTATGCTAGACAGCTTAAAACTATCCAAAGATCCCAATTTGAAGGAGTATCGGTTTCAATAGCAGCATGTATTAAAAATATATAAGTCATCGGTCCCATTCAAATGTTTAGAAAATGTGAGTCTTTAAAATTACCCAGAACGTTACTACTAATATGTGATTTTAATTTCAACAAGGCTTTAGGCCAGGGGTGGGCAAGGTTTCTGGACCGAGGGCCAAAAAAATTTGCCCATCTAAACTGGCGGGCCATGTAAGTGTGTTGTAAAGCCTTGTGCCAGAATTAAATTTAATCGCAATCACAACAAATTTCTCAAGCTGTTTTTTAGCTTTAAATCTCAAAATTTGGTTTTAGTTTGGTTGTGGCAGCATCAGGCAAGCCGGATTAAATTACCCAATGAGCCAGATTTGGCCCACGAGCCGTAGTTTGCTCATGTCAGCTTTAGACAATCAGAAACAACCTGAATAGCATATCTGCTTAGTTCTCCACAATGTTGACAAACTTGAAATAACTGACCAAAGTTCATTGTTCAAAATGAAAGTGGTTTTATGACTCATGAAATAATCTTTCGAAATCATTCTTTTGTCAACACAAAAAATGTGTGTTCAGACAGACGCAAATTAAAATTGAAATTCAGTTTAATCCTAATAAAGGTTTTATTAGATGTTCTACATCAGTGATTCTCAACCTTGAAGGGCTTGCGCCACCTTCTGGAGGCTTTTAGAACTCATGGCCCCCATGTTTATCAAGCCAGTGGTATATACAATACTATTTTGATTGTAGATTTCAAAACTTAATATGTTAAAACAATTTATGCCCAACAAAGTGAAAACATCCTCTTATATAAACTTATCAAGCAATGAAACTAGAAAGAATGGAGATTTTTTGTGACTGAACTGTAATAGCGGAGCCCTTGGTTGCCGTGAGACCCCAGTTGAAACTCATTGGTACAAAGAGCATGTATGTGACCTTAAAAAATAAAAATGTATTCTTTCAATCTCTCAAAACTGTGGTGAATCCAACACACGCCCAAATAAGTGTTAAATATCCCCTTATCATAGAATTCATGGCATGATCATAAAACAAATAGAAACTGTCAAAAGTATTGGAACTTAGCACGATTCTACTTGAACAAAGTCTATCTGCGTCATTCAACCCCAGCCCACATTCTTTTAAAACATTTCTAACAATCAAAGTTGGTTCAAAGATAAATATGATTTTATCCTTGTTTTATCATATGTTTAAGCATGGCAGTTATAAAACACAGTTCCCCTAAATACTATGAATTAGTAAATCATTTACTAAATTACAGTCCAAATCATTTATAAGCCAAAGAATATGTTTTCTATTTTAAGATACGGGAAGACTGCCAGACAGATGGTATGCACTTACATTATCTCCAATAAATAGGTGATAGGTAGGGGATGGGCATTCTCAAACACCAAGCTTCCAAAAAAATAAAAAATAACTGGCTTACACATCCTATACCGGACATAGAATGGTAACCGGACGAGAGGCCGTAGTTCGCCAAATGATAGGGTAAATATGTAAACCCTATCCTACTTGATGATTTTGGAATCGAATCAAATATTTTTTCAAATTGAGTAAAGTCTTATATACTTGGAGGATATGTAATCGTATGCGATTTATTTATTGTGATGGATCCTTCGGGCACATTAATTACTCAAACAGCTTGCTAGGTGTTCACACATAATTAGAAACATATTTTATCAAAATCTCACTAAGAAGGAGGTATATGTCAGGATTACATCTCAAAAATCTGGTGTCACAACCACCCATGGTTTGAGAACCCCTGGGTCACGGTAATAGACCTGATTATTTTAATATTGTATTTTACAAATTTAGAAAAACAAGATAGCCCATTACTCCACCTAGTGGTAAATATGACTGTCCGCTTGTCCAAATCTCTAATCAGAACGAAGATTTAAAAAGCGCATCATAACCCATATGCCTTACCTGACAATTACACATTGGTCTTTCTGTGTCCTCTTCATGTTGAAGTAAGCATTATCTGCAATTGCGAATATATGTGGCGGCAATTCTCCAATTTTTCGGTTCGTATACATTCGTATGTGATCCACCTCATACAAGGGAAGGATTTGATAGGGATTGACAGCCACAAGGATTGAACCAGTGTAGGTCTGAAACACAGAATGTCAACATGTATAAATAATATAAGGTGTCCCGTAGTATGTGCACCAAGATGGCACACAACCTGAACATAGTATGTGTACCAGGTTAGGGTTAGGCCATAATATTATTCCAATTTTCCTTACTTTAGTTCTATTACGAGTTCGGGAACTAGCCAGTGATTCCAGCAGTATTTGTACTTGAAACTATGGTCTAACCCTAACCAGGTACACATACTATGTTCAGGTTGTGTGCCATCTTGGTTCACATACTACAGGAGTGCCCAATAGAAACGTATATTCTTAATTAAAAGCATTTTCACACTGAATTTAGTCAAATGATAACCATATTCAATAAGCTAACTAACTGAAACTAGAATGTTCTTAGCCCAACTAATAATACCCAATTTCAAAAGCATTCTCATACAAATTAAACTAGACGTTTTTGACTCATGCGTCTGCGTCTGCTTTAAAAGTTAAATTTCAATCTCAAGTGTTTTATCTGCGCTGTAGAATCAAAATATGGAGTCCCCCTATAGTATGTCTTTAATGATATTTTTTAGAGTGGTATACATATTAAAACTTTTCTGCGTCAGAGCCAACTTTTTGAATTTTCTGAAATCAAGAACCGGAGTCAGAATATCAGACTTTGAATGGTGATAAACTCAAAAATTATAAACATTCCCAACAGACGAAAAAATAAAATTTGTTTTTTCAAGTCTGAATTTGAAACCAAAATTCCCATTTATCTTGAGTTGAAAGTTATTTTTGTTAAGCACAGCTGTAGTTGTCTTTAAATATCTCGAAATTTGAAGTCAAAGACGGCAGTGAATTTTCTCCGATTCAATATCACATCCTTAATATTTTACAGTATAATTAAAACTAAACCTTACACCAGACAACACACATTTATTTTAAATTTTGAAGTTACCTTTCCACTTGCATATGTCTGTGTCCCGCAAAAGTAACGAACAAAAAGAATTATTAGGTATAAAAGGTTTAACGTTTAAAATAATATTCGTGATTTGAATAAAACCATATTTTGCAAGAGGGCCATTTGACGAATTGTCACAAAAAAATTCGGTACTCATGTTCATGTAGTATGTGCACCAAGATGGCAGACACTGGAAAGAAGTATGTGTACCAGGCTAGGGTAAGGCCATAATTTCAGGTACAAATACTACAGGAGTCACTTGGCTAGTCCCCTAGCACGTATTAAAACTAAAATAAAAAGAATTGAAATAAATTATGGCCTAACCTGGTACACATACTACGTTCCAGTGTCCGCCATATTGGTGCACATACTACGGGAGCCCCAAAATTTCAATAAAATTAGAGGTTAAGAGTCTTCATATAAGCGTAAGATCATTATTGATGAAGTGTGTACTCGGGGTATTTGCTATTTTGGGGATTCATTTTTTGGAATTCAGCCAAATCATGGCTTTTTGAACTGGGGATCCCAACCTTGTAACACATATAAACAAATTTAAATAAAAATAATTTCTTGATTTTAGAATCCAACTTTCATCACTCACATAAATTTTATTTTCATAATATCTGATGAGTAAATTTCTGAGGATTCCTGCTTCATTAAGATCGCCAAGTCTGATCATGTCCTCAACTCCTTCTACAGATGTTGGATGCATCACTTTGATCTTTGCTGAAGCAAACTTCAACCATCTTTCCTGGAAAATTAATCAAATGTTTTCAGTTTTTGATTAGAAAAAATAAGAATTCACAGATCCACACTCGAATAACTTCTGTGCAAGGCCCTAGTTTGGATTTAGTTATGTATTAGACCCTGGTAGCATGACAGAAGCACATAAATTTAGTAACCGATTGGCTAGAAGGAACTTCACCATATTTTGTCAAAGAAGGTTCTTGAAAGAGACCTTTTTTAAATTCTAAAGTCCCCCTACATGGAAATATCTGAATCCCAGAAGCTTCCTTAGATGTTATAGATTATACATACTACTGTAACTTTTCAGTCCATCTTCCCAACAGGAGCAAAATTTGTAACCGGTGACCGTTCATTTGAACCCACGTACATTTGAACCCATGTGTATATCCACGGGTTCAATCTATATGCGGATGCTGAAACCCATTGGTTAGGGTTAGTATGGGTTTAACTATCCGTGAAACAAAAAAAAATTCCATAGATGCAATAGCATACAGGTGCAATTGTCATGGGTTCAAATGTACGTGGGTTCAAATGTAACGGAACCTTTGTAACCAATTAGCTTAAATGGGGGTAAGCTTGAAGGGGACTCCTCCCAACAGACATGTAGTGAATAATGGCAACCAAAATACATGTGAAACATAGAACGGCCATGAAGAGCTACGCTTCGAAAATGTGATGTTGCAAGCGCAAGATTTTACTGCACAAATGGTTTGGTAGTACTGTGAAATGGAGCAGTTGCGCACCTCAGAGGGAACCTTGAAACATCTTATTGGCTTTATCTCTCCCAGATAAATATTTATGTTACCCTACTTATTCTATTTTACTTATTTTCTGCCCTGAAAATAAATATTACCGTAATTTAATGTTACCCATCTTACTAACCTTTTTCTCATCGTCCAGTACTTTTATTTGTCCACCTTGTGATGACTTAACCATCGCACCCAACGGTACCGAGCACTGAGACTGAGGGTCTGCATCCAATAACCAGACATGGTCGCCCTAGAAACAAGAAAATGGTTATGAGTGTGGTAAAAAAGATGGTAGATCTGATAATGGTATGCCCACAAATAGGGGTGCTTATTAAAAATAACAATATTTGTTAGATTTGGGGGCGGCGGTGTGGCTCAACGGGCTAAACATTAGGAATATGCTCGCCACCGCACCACTAATTACTCTGCGTGGGTTCGCAGGTTCGAATCCCATGCAGGGATGGTAATGTGCGAGAGGATTGCTAGACTCCTCGCCGTCGTGGGTGGTTCACGTAACCGCTGGTCAGTTACAGCTTCCTCCACCACCAAGTCCATGCTTCCGAAAACAAACAATATAACTAATCCCATACCCGACTTGGAATGGTAACCGGACGAGAGGTTGTAGTGTGCCATATGGATAAGCCATCTTATCGGCTTTCCTCTCCCCGGGGATAAATATGTAAATCCTATCCTCCTATCCTACTTGATCTTGTCCGCCTTATTTTTTCATTTCACATGACTTATTTTGTTCATTCACAGCACACAGTACAAATTTACTTGAACAAATCCTAAATAGTCCGAAGTGCACACCGATGAACACAAAGTTTAAAATATCCCATTCCATACTATCAACAGCTTCTTTTGAGATCTGTGTTCGGAAGGCAAAAAAAACCAGTACTACAAAAAATTCAACATGTGCTAGTAACCTACCTTTTGAACAGTTGTGGAACCTTTTGCCAGAAAATGTCGACCAAAAAAATTTGACATGCTAAGGCCTAGATTACAGTGAATAGCTAGGAGTTGTTATCAATATATGATAGATAAGTCAATAGATCTCAAACACAGTGGCGTAACTCGAGTATGACAACCATAGCTAGCCATGGGTTTCACCATGTGATAATATCTCTTATCGTCTTTACACTCCCCCAAGATAAATATGAAAATCATGCTTATGACCTGGACTCATCATCCTCTATTCGCTAGTAAGACTAAATCCAGTGATTGGCTCAATTCTTTTTATACCCTCAAGAATCACAAGTTTTCCAGACCCGCTGTCTTTTACAGTCTAACTTAGCAATTAAAAATTTCAGGCCCAATCCCCCCCCTTAAAAATTTCAAAATATTTTGTGTCTGTACATTATGCTAAAATTTAAGGTCTTACCATATAGAATATTCTAAATTACATTATACTCAGCAGAGAAATTTGTAGGAGTCAGGAGGAGTAAAAGCATTCCACAGTAATTTTATACCACCTCTACAGCATAGGAAGAAGCAACAAATGCTTCACTATTGGACCACACTATTTCAATCTGGTGCTGATGCTGACACAACCAAACTGAAACCAAATTTTGATATTTAAGCTAAAAATACCTCATGGAATTTGCTAAAAGTGCAATTAAATTTAGTTTTGGCACGAGGCTTATTGTTTTCCACTTTTGCTTTTGTAACACTGTGAATAAAATTCTGTTTGTAAAATGTAACTTTTTATTTCATGCTTACATGGCCCGCCAGTCTGGGTTGTGCACCCCTAATCTAGATATTTTCTTGCAGTTTACGATTTCATTTTTTTCAACTCACACTGTAAATAGTACCCATAATAACCCATAACCTCACAAACCCATAATATACTGTTATTTTATATCCCCAACACACAATACCCAGAACCCATAAATCAAGAATGTAACAGTCCGCACCCATTCAAGCACACAATTCCAACAGAAGTTAAGCATTCCCATGTATTGTGAGTGTTGTTCAAATATTTAATCTAATTTTATTTGCTTTTGTTACCTATAAGTGCTATAGTCGTATGATTGCTTATCATCGAAAATCAGCAAAACTCAATAATTTCTGCTTCTTTGCTATTTCATAAAATAACATTTTTGAATATATAAATTGAATGTATTATAAATAGGGTCATCTTTAATAAGGATGTATATATAGAGTGTCCATGAAGTCTTGAAATTTTTTAAAATTGCAAAGGGAATTTATCTATACCATATTTTGTTTTGGCCTTCACAGATGTATCAAATGAAGAAAAAATACTTAAACAATCACTGATTAAAACAACAAACCTGGTTAAGATATATTGAGAACTAATTTCATAACAAAATTGGAATTGTGAAGGGACTTTATGGACACCCTGTTATATTCAATGAATCTGTTTTTATGAATAATATGGTATATTGAACACATTCTGAAATATGAATTTTTGATATGCAATTTGGAATCTCTTCAAACTTGGCTACTTCAGCAAAGAATGCTTATAGAAACCTAATGTGTATTGAATGAATGAATTTTAATTTAGGTAAAGAACACTTTAGTAGTAATCAGGGATGGCGAAAACTGAATGTCCTATGTAAATACAATCGCAGTGGACCTCAAACTATCATAGGACGCATTCTAATTCTATGTGCAAGTTATTATTTTTTACCTGTATTTCCATGTATAATACAAATGATATACTTCATTATTTTATTATATGCCAGAATTATGAGGTAAAGTTGACTTGATCATAATTTTATATTCAGTTGAAAATATTTTCATATTGACAAATTCATTTATTTTAGATTTCCTATCTCTACTCATACTGGGTCCCACACAATTTATTTTACATAAAGACCCGCCAGTCCTGTCTGCTACTTTATATTTTCCAGATTAAAATTAGGTGATATATCCCAAGCATACAAGCTGACTGATATCTTTCTAACTAACTCACCCCTAGCACGACCAGCAAACAAGAAATGACCAGAGTAAATATTTGTTTAGGCATTCCATATGTGATCACACCATTACATTTTGGAACATTGTGTGTTTACATTGCTATATGTAATTTTAGATAAATGTGGGAATTTGGGTTTGAAATAGATTTAACAAGCAAGAATTATATCAAGAATTCGTGAATGAATTAAAAGATATCTTATAATATTTAATATAATATAACATAATATTATTATTAACAGATGCCCACCAGCTTATCCCAGGTGTTAAGTAGGTGGAAATTGCAGAATAGGGATAAAAAAGTAGCTCAATGCTGTGGCTGTGTGTACATAGTCTTTTCCAGAGTGAAGATTTGAAATTGCCTCAAAGGAGAATTATGCTTCGTTGGCATGCTGTCAATTTCTCAGGCTTCCCTTTTACGAGGATAAAAATAATGACATCAATAACATAAAAAGCTGATTTACTAATTCCATAACCATCATGGACTGGTAACCATCACCACGCACAAATATGAAAAATCATGTCCCTCAGATAGACACTATAAAAATAAAAATAACAGGTAAGCTTTAATCAGCCATATGATGAATCCTTCCTATCATCTTTCTTCTTGACATTGTCAAATTCTGACAATATTTCTACATTTTTACAGAAAACGAAAATTCGACTTCATTCTGAATTCTAAAACAGCCCCTCAAACAGGCAACGCCTTCCAATTAACAAAACTTTTAAAAACACAATATGTAGTTCAAGTAGGCTCAAGTACTATTGAATCCCACTTCACTATCTAGCTATCTTAAGTTCTTTAACTACTAGGCCAACGTAGCTTGGAAACTTAGTTTTACAATTGACAGATCATATCAAGCGTTGGCGCCATGTATAGAATATATTTTTTTGATTATGTAAGCCTTTTTGTGTCTTTCGTTCTGAACAAGGCTCTGCCCTATCTAGCTATTTTATGATCTTAAACTTCGATGGCAACGAAGCTCAGAAACTCGGCTTAATTTGAATTTAAATTTTTCTATACGATATCAAGAGCCATAGCAACATAGAAACTATTTTCAGATCTAAATGATCTTCCTTCGTAAAAGCATAAGATAGTCTATCATAACTTACAACATCAGCCATGTGATGTGAATATTTGATAAACAGTGGCCGCCTTCAAGTCATAAATGAACATTTATGAACATAATTTAAAGATGGACCACGCTTAAACTGAATGTAATAGCAGTGTTTTGTGTACGGCCAAGTTAAAATTAGGAAGTACTTCTTTAATTGTGAATAAATAATTTATCAGGTATGCGGAGTATTATTATCAGCTGATATATAAAAAGGTGGAAAATGAGTCCATTCTCAAAGACTAAATAGTAATTGGCTATAAAACTATAAAAGTATTTGTGAACAGACAATAATTTTGTAGGTTCAATGGCCTATTGGTCAAAGCAGGGCTTCCTAAACTGGGGGTCACGACCTCACAGGGGGCTGCGTAAGGAATTATGGAAGTATCAAAGAGTACACCATTTTCACCCAAAGTACTATATCTATCATACTTTTTTAGACTTTTGATTCGAAACACAATTATTAAAACTGATGCAAAACATTATTCTCAGGATTTCGAGAGATTACATAGAATGCAAACCTCACCCCTACCCCTGGATTAGCCCTTGAACACAATACCTGGTTCTAAATACTTTCAATAGTTCTTCATCTATTCAGAGATGAGACTCCTCTACTTCTGTCTGAATCACCTTGCTTTGAGCGATTTAACTCGAAAAATTATTTCCATCTTGGCACACTTTTACCTGATGTCTCAATATTGAATATCATACTACATGTAAATAGAAAAGTTCAAAAAATGTTTCAATTTATACTTAGTAAAACCAAAATTGATCTCACAATAGAGAAGTCTTAGGAAAATGATTCAGTTCAATTTTACCATACCAAACAAAATATTTCGCCACAACTTCATCTCCTGTCTAAAAGTCATCTTCAGAAGTCTATAATGATTATTCATCATTCGATATATAAATAGGAAAGCCTTCAGAAAACATTTCAATTTATACTGAATAATCTGAAAATTTATTTCATTCTATAAAACATGGGCCTAACATAAAATATATGAATTATATCCGGCCCAAAGATGAGCAGGGTATAACATCAACATCTCGAAAATGAATGCTAATTAGACTATTTGATAATGCGGGCCAGATTTGAAATATGGATAAATTGAATCATATCACGTTTGAATGAACATATTATGATGTAACAAAGGCTGACATAGCCTCATTATGTGACATAATAATAAGTTATGGACATATTCATAATACAATGAAAACTTAACATAATTCACTTTTGAAAGGATTTTGGGCCTTTATAATGAAAGGTGCCTATTATATTAGGTTATAAGGTAGATTAAGATAGTGTGTACCCAAATACTATTTTTTTCCTACGGCCGCGGTGTGACACACTGTTCTATGCATTAGGAATAGAGGTAACATCGGGCCCAAAAATCCCAGCCCGGGCCGACCCAGGCCCGTGGGTATTAAACCCGACTCGACCGAGCCCGATTATTTAATTGAATTTGCAGGCCCAAGCCCAAAGCAAACTCAAAATTTCATATTTTATTCAGGAGTTCATTGTATTGTCATTGCAAGAGTTAGGTAAAGTATGTGTCGTGTTGATGAGGCAATTTCTGTTTTTTTGCAAACCACGGTCTCTCGTGGCCAAAACAAGGCCGAAAAAAAAGTCAGCGATAGAGAAGCCCGACCCGACCCGACTTGACCTGAATGTAATGATTGGCATTTCAGGCTCGACCCGACCAAAATTTCGGGTCGAGTTCATGCTTCAGATCTCAGCTCTAATTAGAAATACATTTGCCCCGCATCTCTGAAAACGTCTGGGGTTGACTCAAATAATAAGCTAATAAGAAGATTATGTTCCCATTAAAATAATAACTCATATGGGAACACTGATTCTACTGTAAAGTCAAAAATATCCCAATAGCAGAAAAGATAACACACAAGGCAAAAACATAGGACGAGGATGAGGCCTATACAAGAGATATGAAAATACTACACGGACAACCTGTAAGACAGTAGTTGACGAAGTTTATCTACTACTGGGCCAATCAAACGCATTTCCGGTAACGTAAGTATACAACGGGCATGTGATTTTGGGTAGGGTAATCACTACAAAAACAAAAGGGACACAACAATCATTGTTATGACATATATCCCAACACAGATAATAACATTATGAGCACTGTTCATGTTATGCAATGAAAGGAGGTCGTTCGAAGGCCCCAAAAATTTATTTACGGCCCGTTGTTAGCCAACAACTGCTGTAGGGAGATGCCAGATATTTTCCATGCTTCCTAAATTTTGTGCTAATAATTTAATTTTGGCGCTCCCAAAGTATGTGTACCAAAATTTATGTTTAGAAAATTGATAAAATTACCATTTGTAACATTTCAGTATTTTTCAACTTATTTGAACAAACTGACTAACTCTCTAGCACCACCAGACGGATATTGTACACTTCCTTAACTTCAAAATAAAACCAGTTTTCTGATTCAAATCTCAAATCTCTTTTACACTGGTTTGCAGTAGATAACTATATGTTTAACTTTTTTGAAATATTAGTTTAAGACACAGAAAAAAACCAAAACCAAAACTAAAACTTAACTAAAAACCAAAATAAGGGTAAATAATGTTTAAAATGGACTAGTCAAGTTTATCACACAATGACTAAATAGGATGATATGGAAAACAGAAGATTAATCCTAAAACCCTTTGTCCTGTAGTACATAAATCTCATGGACGTACAGTCCAAAAAAAACCTCCTCCCAAAGCTCAAAATAATAAAATTAGTAATTATCCTGTTAGGGTTAGGGCTAGAAATGCAGATTGCGCAGGAAATTCGAACTTTTAAATAATTGACAGCCCAAACCCTAACTGAATAATTATTAATTTGTTATTTTAAAGGTGTTTTTCTCAAATTTCACATTTTTGCATTAGTGGAGGCCTATATTTTTATTTCTCTCCATTGCTGTTGGCTGAGCCATATTGTTCACCTTATTCATTGCATGTTTGTGGTTGAATATTTAAAAGGGAAAACAGGATTTAGTATATAATCGTGACAATTACAGCATTAATAATACAGTAGTTCGGACACGAAATGTCAATTAGTACACTTCGGCTGATACACTGATAAAATTTGATTTTCGTTACCTCCCTATTTCCCGTAAAGCTTAAGAGTAGACCAGAAAATAATACAACAGATCCTATATAATGGTGTACAACCTTAAGATAGTATATTTCACTTTTTTTGCAAATACAGTTGCACAGCATGCACCCATGTCCTCGAACAAATGTTGTAAAAATACCGATGGAGGGCTTTTTGTAAAATGAAAAATAAAATCAGCTTTGCACTTATCATTGTGGCCTCCCTAAAAACTTCCATGGGCCCCAGTTTGGGAACTGCTGTTCTATAGCTTCGCAGCTCTTGGAATGTCAAAATTGAATTTTGTATATTTTTACCACAAAATCAAATATTCAAAGACTCACCTCTCGAATCAACGCCATCTTGACTCTTTCCTCTGTTCAGAGTTTTCGTCTCTTCCAAGTTTTTCTGTTAATGTTAAAATTGCTATATAAAGTTGGCTTGAAATGATTAAAAAACAAATAGGTAAAGTATGGAGCTCAAACAGGGCAACATAAAATGACACATAAACTGGAGCAGTTGAACACATACTCCAGAGAACCACATAGAAATTAGTTTGATGAACACAAACAACACATAAATAAAAGCACATAAAGCATGAGTTAGATTTATAACACACAAACAAGAGCACACAATAAAAGCACATACACATAGCATAGAGCCAAATTTAGAATTGATAATTATTTGTTCAAAATACCTTATAAACAATGATTTTCCTTTCCACAATTTCAAAGTGCCTTAGCTAGAGTAATGGTTGTTAGGATAAGATAACTGTGAAAACATCATAAACGTTATTTTATGAAAAAAACTTCTAAAAAGAATTGGCACGATGTATCAGAATAAAAGGTTCTCTACAAGCATCCACGAATACATGATCTAATCGTATTGAAATCAAGATCTCATAAGATGCCATAAGTTACTATCAGCTTCCTTGATAAATAGGAAAAACTATAATTAATTGGTTTAAACTGGTCCAAGCGAGTTCAAGTTGGTTCAAACTAGTTCATTCTTTCTATCTGTATGACTCAAACGTCTAAATGACATATTTCATTCCAATTCTAAGTCTTGCCTGACCACGAAAATCTCCCATTTCAATTATTCATTGTTTCCTATTTGCAAACAAAGCAGATAACATACCTATTGTACAGTCATAATTCATGAAACCTAACCTCTATGCTGTCATAGGGTAACCAACTGTTGCGTCACAATCATTTATAATTAATGTATTGCGTAAACATTGTTAACTAACGAAGATAACAACCAGCTGGGTGGGAAATTGCCTGAGGCTAATTAGTTATTGTCAGATTAATAAAAACGGTTTGACTGTTTGGACCTGGAGTGGATGTGTGGGACATTTTGATAAATTGTTGTCGTGGAAGAATCATTCTTTCTGCAACTATTGAATCAACCGACCCAAAATCTTTAGTACTTACGATGGAAGAAGTGACTAATATGGGGCCTGAGGGGTCATTTGATTCACCCACAATTATATTACGTATTAGTTAAAGTCTGATACCTCCAAAATATAGAAATTACTTATGAATTAATCTGCTTGCCCAAAGCCTTGTTTAGATATCAGGTAAGCACTCTCCTCTTTCGGTAGTGTCGTGTGTGTACCAGGTTAGAGTTAGGGCATAATTTTATTTTGATTTTCCTCATTTTAGTTCATTTACGAGTTCGGAAACTGTCTGTGTTTGTCAAGTGAATATACCCCTGCGCATAGGTTTCAGTACCTCTACACAACTTGATGTAAAGTAGGCGAATAAAATTTGTTACCTCCATATTGGTACACTTTTCTGGAGCGCCAATCCTTTACCATAACTTCATAATACAAAATAAGATATAATTGTATTTAACCACCTCACTTTCTTGCTCAGGCTATCGTTAGCTACCCCATAAGGACTCACATAAATTCCTATTTAAAAGGGTAATACCACCAGAACAAAAGAAAAAGAATGATAACTAGTTGGTCTTGTAGAAAGCAAATTACTAACATATAATAGGGCTTTATATGTAATAAGTGACTTATAAGGTAATTTTCCAGTTATCTGTCTCTTGCCAATTTTAACTAAAAATAAGAATCATTCCATGTATGGGGAATACATAAATCATGCTTTATTTGTTGAAATTAGGATTGGGCCATGCTTGGGGGGAAGGTTTGATAATATGCATTACTTTATCTTCGTCTGTGTTGTTTACATTGTGGGGTAATAATTAACAGGTTTATGAGCCAATAATTCTTCTTTTCCTGTTACTGTGATGTCATATTGACTTGTGCAATAATTGATAAAAGAGAAAGCAGTATCAGTTTTGCGATGGCACAAATGAAAGTCATGACTCTATGACAAAACAAAGATTTCAACAATTTGAGTAAACAGGCACACCTATATATACATTAAGTTGATTGCCGTCATTTATTTTATGAGACGCTCTCACATTTTCGTCTGAACAAGGCTCTACGCAAGCAGCCACTGATATGTGGTTATTCACTCTTATGAAAAAGGGCGCTTCCGTAGTATTCGTACCAAGATGGCGCACAACCTGCTAAGCCTAACCCGGTACACATACCATGTTCAGGTTGTGCGTCATCTTGGTACAAATACTATGGAAGTACCTGGAAAAGTGTAATTTTCAACCTGGCTTTGCTACCACTTTTATTACACCCAAGAACTTGACTTCTCACTTCCCATCAGGGGCATACCCAGGGAAGGAATTGTGGGTCGGTTCCCCCTTCCTCCCTTTTTGAAAAGTAAAAAAGCATTTTTCTGCATTCGTTACCTTGGCAATTAGAAATGTGAGAACCCCCATTGATAAATCCTAGCTGAGCCTCTGTTCCTTATCTCACTATCTAAGACTAGTTTAAGACAAGTATGTGCAACCTGCACCCACGAGCCAAATGCGGCCTACAAGGGAAAATGTGCGCCCATGGAGAATTGTCCATTTGGATCGTGTGCGGCCCGCATAACGAGTTTTTAATTTAATTTAATCTGGTACATGAGAGTAATTCCAATTCCTCACAATGCCATAACATCTAGCTTGCGCGACGTCAACAACGCATGTCATAAGATGAATTACCAAAATTTTTGTGCTTGCAACTACCAGAAAGCCTATGTTAAATAAAAGCGCGGGCCACGGTTTCATCCAGTTTTTTGTATCTGGCACTTTCGTAATAAAGCTTACGCACCCCGGGTCTAAAACATTGCTGTGCAACAGGTGGCCCGCAGGCCACAATCAGGCCCGCTAAGCCATTTAGTGTGGCTCTTGTCAATACTTAGTTTTTCCCCCATCAAGATAAAAATCCGTATCCGACAGTTTATTTACAGGTGCTTACATGGGTAAAAATACATAATGTTTTTTTGATCTTGTCACTGCGTTGAATCTTTTGCAATTTTCCCAGTGTTTTTATTATTGTGACGCTTAGCGATAGCCACATTGCGCATTTGTATGTGGCGCAGTCAGATTTCTTTGATTAAATAGCTAACCGACAAAAAATGTCGCACATCCCTGGCCTAACGTTTCAACCACTCGGCTAATATCAATTAACTATTGTCTTACGTAACTGATCCCTCGGTCCGTCAAATCGTTACATAAATACACAGACTTACAAATCACCTAGAATAATTACGCTCGCTACGGCATCCTCGCATTACACTCATGAATATCCACTAGCGCAAAAGCGTAATGAGAGGCTAAGTAATCTGTTCCACTGAGCGCATCAAATGCCTACAAAATCACTACCCGTTGCAAAAATTGACAAATTATCACGACACAATCGAGTCTGCAATGCACGTCAACTACTCTTAGCTATCTTATGTACAGACACCTTGATTAGGCAAAAAGTTACGAAAATGCATTTATGTTAGAGTGCAGCAAGGCTAACGTAATAATTGAGAACAGTAACATTTACGCGTGCTACGACATTCTTGCATTATATGCGTATGGCTTCGCTAGCGCAAATGCATAGTATAAAAACTCTAACCTGGTACACATACTACGTTCCGGTGTCCGCCATCTTGGTTCACATACTTCGGGAGTATCGAAAAATAGGTAGATGCATCAATAAAACCCCAACTTTTATTACAACACTAATACTTATCAATCAGGGATGTGCAAAACTAACTATCTTTCCTTGCTACTTATCGATCTTGATCGGTAAGTATGTTGATAAGTATTTGTCTGTTTGTTTGTTTGTTTGTTTGTCTGTTAGATGCACGTGATATCTCACGAAAGCGAGGTTGAATCTGCTCCAAATTTTGCATGTGCATCCACCATAGCTCGGATTAGAAGCCTATTAATTTTCGATGAATTATGTCGTTTAATTAGCGAGGTATTGATTAATTAGTGATGGGACACATGGTGTCACTATGGAGTAAGAGCGCTGTTTTGGGGGATCCCCTAACCTTCGATCGATAAGTCTTCGGTCTCCGAACGATATTCTCGCTCTATGCTTTGGCGCTGATGGATCCGTATGCGTGTACCGCAAGTATAACTAATCATATACCCGACATGGAATGGTAACCGGACGAGAAGTCGTGGTCGCCATGTGATTAAGACCAGTTATCGACTTTCTTTTACCCGGGAAGGATATGTAAATACTATCCTATGCTGTAGCAAGAATAAAATGTCTACTCTATTTGAAACGCAAACACGAATTAAATACAAACTCGACAACTACTACACGTTATAAAATTTGCCAAAGTTGAAATGAAAATGTACAATAGATACTGCAGTAGTAACTACCTTATGTAACTGACACCACGGTCAGGCGGAAAAGATACAAAAATACATTTATGTTAGTGTGCAGCAAGACAGAGGAAATACTTTAGAACAGTATTATTTACGCTTGCTACGGCATCCTTGCGTTATATGCATATTTCCTATGCATGGAAGAAAAATAGGTAGATGAAATCATAGAATTGATAATTGCAACAACTAATACCTATCAATATGGGTTACGCGAGACTGACTATCTTGCTCTATTCCTTCGCGCTAGTGGGGATCAGTATGCGATTAATGCAAATATGGTGTAGCAAGAGTAAAGATAGCTATACAAATTGATATATCGTTTTAGATCAGGGGTCGGCAACCTTTTTCGCTCGCGGGCCAAAATTAAAGGTTGCAAGTCATTGGCGGGCCGCACATATTTTTAGAATGTTAAAAATCAAATGAATGACCGATGAATCACATTTTATCACACAGATCAGGAGTAAAATTTTAAGCAGTGCGCGAAGACTGACCATTTGAATATTTTTTGCGCCTTTTGCATCAACTTTTCTGCGTGTTGTTGTCATTTGTCTGAATTATAATTAAATTATAGGCTCATTAAACGAGTAATTGTGAATTATATACTTGTTACGTTATAATATAATTTGGTCTACACGTAAATTCTAGTGCGCAAAGAATATAATCGACAAAACAGCTATAATTTGTTACTATAATTCAGTGAAGCGTCGCGGGCCGGACTATATTGCTCCGCGGGCCGGATCCGGCCCGCGGGCCGTAGGTTGCCGACCCCTGTTTTAGATTATGCATGTCTAACTATTTATTCTTGCTCTATTCTGGCGCCACAGCTCTAACCCCAACTTAATAGTTACCCGCTACCGATTAAAAAGAAACTGACTGAAAACTGCAAACATACAACTAACACTGCAATACAAATGTTGTATAAATCACTGAACCTGCTACGAAGCCATAAACCAAACGCATGGAAGCGAAGTCGAAGAATTCAACGCCGGAGGCAAATTTATCAAATCGTGAATGTTTTTTCACGCCCAACTAAACCGTATA